ATTGTTTTAATTGAAATTACGGATTGCCTCTTATCCGCTCGTCATCCCCTTATGCCATAGTTTGTACATCTCAATTGTCAGTAGAAACCACATTTGTTTAAGCAAGTCAGCCATGTTTATTTTATGAAAGGTAGTAAATGAGGCTGAATGAACTGTTTCGCTGCCAGACAAGGCTTCGCTGATAGCCAGGTGTAGTGGTAAGGTGTTGGGACAGCTTTATGTAGGCCCTAACAGTTTGTCGGCACCGTTTGTCACCATTATAGTGCAATTCATGTATTGTTTAGTGTTATGTAGTGGCTTTGCTGGCATGCATCCATTTTTTTTTTTGGGGGGGGGGGGGGGGGGGGGGGGAGTTTGCCCCACCAATATTTCCATGCTAAAATTGCTACTGAATGATAGCGTAGTCTAGTGATACACAGTGTAGTGATAATATGTAATGATAGCATAGTCTAGTGACACACAGTGTAGTGATAATATGTAATGATAGCATAGTCTAGTGATACACAGTGTAGTGATAATATGTAATGATAGCATAGTCTAGTGATACATAGTGTAGTGATAATATGTTTGTATAACAAATGTGGGATTTGACATAAAATAACCCACAACTATTACCTGGTGTATCTTCAGTGTCCTTTTCCGCTGTTGTTGCTCTACTGTTGTCATCACGTTCATAGGATCTAGTGATTGTATCTTCTGTGGCTGTGCCAATTGTGCTTTTTCCTGGAGTATTGAAGACATGTTGGCCTGTTTTCATTTGCCCTCATTGCTTTTGCTGAAAATCCAGCTTTGACCAGGCCATACTTTCTCAGGATGTTGCCTCTGAGCATTTTTGAAGCCATTGTTTGTCCTTGGCACTGTGCATTTTTTGATACTTTTGCTTTAACTCTGCAATGATGGCATTTTGAAACAATAAAATGAGTTCCCTTCATTTGCTGTTTTGTCTTTGCGGAATCTTGCCTCTCCATTTTCTTTGTCAGTCGATCATACCTTTTTTTGTACTCTCTTTCCGTAAAGCATTATCAAGTTTGACATTTGTCATGCAAAGATCTCTGTAGTTTTTTTGAGCTACCTATTCCAACCTTTTTCCTTCCAGCAAGTATTCAACTTCTCATTCCTGTTGCAGACGATGAGGAAGGGGTATCAGGGGTTGCATCATGGGCAGGTAAATTAGGGGCAGGTATGTTGGCCTCATGTTCTGGCTGCAAATCATCTGGTGACTGAGGTGGTGTGTTGCCTGATAGGTAGGTCTCCATTGCAACTGTTCTCTTTAAAGACTGTCTTCTATTCCATTGGTTGGATTTCCATTGCCTTCTCTTGCTTCTTTGTTCTCAGAGATAGATTTCACTTCTCTTTTTTCTTCCAGTATCTCTCCCTGTCTTTTTGCAGATGTTCCTGGTATCATAACAAAGAACAATACTACTTGGTTTTCAACTTGTGTACACCTTGGAGCATTTTCTAGATTAAATTAATTTGAAACATGATTAAATAAGCCTAAAGTAAAAAAATTAAAAGTAACAACTAAAACTAATAAGATAATGGATTTTTTTCATGTCCACCAGTTAAGTTTGTGATGGAATTGACTGTGATGGAAATGACGCTTCTACAGTCTTTTGAGAAAAATGACAGGCTGCTTAGCATGCTTTGGTTAGTATTAAAGCTAGCATATAGCTTACACTAAATACATAAAATATCTAACTTTTTTCAAAATTCTACCACAAATTAAATAAATGATAGCCTGTTTGGAAATGACTGACAATAGAAATATTCTCTACACAAGTAATATTTACCTAGATTTTTCTTCAACTTCTGGACATCACATCTGGAACAACAGTCTGCTGCAGCCATGTGCTTCAGTGTCACAATACGTTTCCATGGTAACTAAGTTAACATTCTCTTGAAAAAACGTTTTGTCCTCAGTGGTGGAATTGACACCACTACCAAAGGACAGGTATATTTTGTGTAAAAACCAATATAAAGGGCATACAAAAAAATATTGATATAGATTTTATTTCATTGACTCTTTCTCCAGTAGATAACATTATATAATGTGTAATTATTGTTTTCTCATAGAAAAACATAGTAGAAGCTCAAAAGTCTGGGTCAGGGACAAGGGCAAAACAGTGAAATTGAGGTATAAAATGCACCTGAAAAGTAGCTAAAATACTTGATAGAGAGGTGTTAAAAAAGTCTGGGGTGATTGTAGTGTGAACTTAATGAAAAGAAATTGACCCCGAGGACATAAAAGTGCCGTAGTTGCAGAATCACCCATTTATGTTATCCAAAAGTGTCTGGTATGGTCATTTCTTATCAAGATCGGGGGTCCGATATCCCTTGACTGTCCATATTTAAAATATGTAAATAAATATAGTAAAATCGGGGGGATTTGGTTATTTGTGCCTGAAGGTCGTGGGCCAGAATCCAACTCACGCCAACATGGTAGGCCTATATGTGTGTGCTGAAGCCAGTGGCCCTAACAGCTAGACCACAATTGGACTAAAGTTTGACCTTAGTATACACTTGACACGTCTGTCATAGCGTAGCGGAGACCAATATCTATCTTGTGTTATTAACAGTGGTGGGAAAAAGTACCCAATTGTCATACTTGAGTAAAAGTAAAGATACCTTAATAGAAAATTACTCAAGTAAAAGTGAGTCGCCCAGTAAAATATTACTTGAGTTAAAGTCTGGTTAAAAAAAAAGTCTGCTTTTAAATATACTTACATATAAAAAGTCAATGTAATTGCTAAAATATACTTAAATATCAAAAGTAAAAGTATAAATAATTTCAAATTACTTATATTAAGCAAACCAGACAGCACAGTTTTATTTTTTATTTAAGGATAGCCAGGGGCACAATCCAACACTCAGACATCATTTACAAACAAAGCATGTGTTTAGTGAGTCCACCAGATCAGAGGCAGTAGAGATGACCAGGGATGTTCTCTTGATAAGTACATGAATTGGACCATTTTCCTGTCCTGCTAAGCATCCAAAATGTAATAAGGACTTTTGGGTGTCAGGGAAAATGGAAGAAAAGTACATTATTTTCATTAGGAATGTAGTGATGTAAAAGTTGTCAAAAATATAAATAGTAAAGTACAGATACCCCAAAAAAACAGCTTAAGTAGTACTTTAAAGTATTTTTACTTAAGTACTTTACACTACTCGTTATTAAACTAGATAAAACGACAGTTGTTGATGTGTATATGGCTGCATTTCAGATACATTTTTGTACATTTGAATGTTGCAGTAATAGGACCTAGGCCTAGCATTTGAGTGAGCGAGCGAAAATTATTTTTATAGCAAGTCCCGATCCCAATGACTCGACTGCCTCCGCATGGAGAGAAAGACAACTGCTGGTCCGACATCTGTACCAACATAATAACATAATAAGCAAACCAGACAGCACAGTTTTATTTTTTATTTAAGGATAGCCAGGGGCACAATCCAACACTCAGACATCATTTACAAACAAAGCATGTGTTTAGTGAGTCCACCAGATCAGAGGCAGTAGAGATGACCAGGGATGTTCTCTTGATAAGTACATGAATTGGACCATTTTCCTGTCCTGCTAAGCATCCAAAATGTAATAAGGACTTTTGGGTGTCAGGGAAAATGGAAGAAAAGTACATTATTTTCATTAGGAATGTAGTGATGTAAAAGTTGTCAAAAATATAAATAGTAAAGTACAGATACCCCAAAAAAACAGCTTAAGTAGTACTTTAAAGTATTTTTACTTAAGTACTTTACACTACTCGTTATTAAACTAGATAAAACGACAGTTGTTGATGTGTATATGGCTGCATTTCAGATACATTTTTGTACATTTGAATGTTGCAGTAATAGGACCTAGGCCTAGCATTTGAGTGAGCGAGCGAAAATTATTTTTATAGCAAGTCCCGATCCCAATGACTCGACTGCCTCCGCATGGAGAGAAAGACAACTGCTGGTCCGACATCTGTACCAACATAATAACATAATAAGCAAACCAGACAGCACAGTTTTATTTTTTATTTAAGGATAGCCAGGGGCACAATCCAACACTCAGACATCATTTACAAACAAAGCATGTGTTTAGTGAGTCCACCAGATCAGAGGCAGTAGAGATGACCAGGGATGTTCTCTTGATAAGTACATGAATTGGACCATTTTCCTGTCCTGCTAAGCATCCAAAATGTAATAAGGACTTTTGGGTGTCAGGGAAAATGGAAGAAAAGTACATTATTTTCATTAGGAATGTAGTGATGTAAAAGTTGTCAAAAATATAAATAGTAAAGTACAGATACCCCAAAAAAACAGCTTAAGTAGTACTTTAAAGTATTTTTACTTAAGTACTTTACACTACTCGTTATTAAACTAGATAAAACGACAGTTGTTGATGTGTATATGGCTGCATTTCAGATACATTTTTGTACATTTGAATGTTGCAGTAATAGGACCTAGGCCTAGCATTTGAGTGAGCGAGCGAAAATTATTTTTATAGCAAGTCCCGATCCCAATGACTCGACTGCCTCCGCATGGAGAGAAAGACAACTGCTGGTCCGACATCTGTACCAACATAATAAACTCTAAATTACAGTGAACATTTAAAAAAGCACACCTGCATGTATAACTCCAGTGTACAGTACCTAGTTCTCTTTAACATGATTGCCATTTAATAAATGAGTCACCTAAATGTTTTACATTATTTTCAACAACAAAAAAGAAGTGAAAAATAACACATATTTTGAACCAGTTTTTTTGGTGGGAATAAACCACAATAATTGGCAAAAACATACCACATGGGAGAAAACTATTCATTCTTAACCATTATGGCAAGAATTACCATTGATGAGTTTGCTTGTGTGTCAGACTTTTAGTATACTATAGAGCAAACTGCTGAACTAAAGCCTAGTGTAAGTAATAGAACAGTAAGGTCCATTCAAAGCAATGTGTGTGTGAGGTGACAGCTGCTCGTCTATCTGCTTCAGCATGTGTGTCTGCCTGCCCATGGCTCACCCCAGGGCCAGTGTGGGGTGGTTGGTCTGAATTGGCCTCTCCTTCTGCTGGGCTCTTCTCTCCAGCACTACAGGCCCAGGGCAGATCGGCCAACTCTCCCCATCACAATGCCCCGGTAGCGCCACGCAACACTCACTACCCTGGGTTTTATCAGTAATTAAGTGCTCCCACCAAAGGTGTGCTAACCCCCCACCCTCGTGAACCCTCCCAGCAATCTGCTGGCATTTAAATTTTCAAGATCACCATCAAAACACTTCAAAATCTAATGTAAGTTTTCCTGTCCAATAGGACAGAGGCTCTTTATGATTGCTAATGGATGAAGAGCTGCTTCCACTTTGGTCAATTGAGTAGTCCCTAAGCTTGGCCTCATTCATGTTAGTTATACAAGTATATCATTTCTGGTCTTTGCTTTGTTGACAATTTTTCAATTGCACTTACACATATAGATACAATGAGCGTACAAAACATTAAGAACACCTGCTCTTTCCATGACAGACTGACCAGGTGAATGCTACAGTATCATCCCTTATTGATATTACTTGTTAAATCCACTTCAAATCAGTGTAGATGAAGGGTAGGAAACAGGTTAAAGAATGATTTTTAAGCCTTGAGACAATTGAGACATGGATTGTGTATGTGTGCCATTCAGAGGGTGAATGGGCAAGACAAAAGATTTAAGTGCCTTTGAATGGGGTATGGTAGTAGGTGCCAGGCGCACCGGTTTGTGTCAAGAACTGCAACGCTGCTGGGTTTTTCACACTCAACAGTTTCCCGTGTGTGTCAAGAATGGTCCACCACCCAAAGGACATCCAGCCAACTTGACAACTGTTGCAAGCATTGGAGTCAACATGGGCCAGCTTCCCTGTGGAACACCTTGTAGAGTCCATGCCCCGACGAATTGAGGCAAAAGGGGTTGCAACTCAATATTAGGAAGGAGTTTCTAATGTTTTGTACACTCAGTGTATATCAACACTAACACACATTCTGTAAGACTTGTGTAAATTCATTACCCTGGATATCAGTCCCTGTGTGTCTCAGCTCTTCCCCCTCCCTCCAGAATCAGTGCCAACAGTTTCATCAGTAACAGCACAAACTCCATCGGCTGCCATGTTGGCTCCTCCAGCCCCAGTTTCCAGCACAGTTCCTCCACAGGGACAGTGCCAGGGTGCAGTGCACCGTAGATAGTGGGGCCAGGCTGGGGAGAGAGGAGAGGCCCTCTAGAGTCTGGTTTATAACTGGTGCTAACGTGCGTCCTTTGTCCGGATCTTATCCACATTCTGATTGTGTCCACATTGCATCTGATGAATATTTGCATTGACCCCCTTTTTTTGTTGTTGCACTGACTCTTTTGCACACTCACTAGACTCTACCCACATGCTGCTGATACTCTGTTTATTACCTATCCTGATTGCCTAGTCACTTTTACCCCTACCTACATGTACATATTACCCCAATTACTTCAACTACCTCATACCCCTGCACATTGACTCGGTACCGGTACTCCTTTTATATAGCCTTGTTATTGTTAATTGATTGTGTTACTATTTCCTTGTTTTAATTTAGCAAATGTTTCTTACTTTTAAATTCTGCATTGCTGGGAAAGGGCTCGTAAGTAAGCATTTCACGGTAAAGTCTACAGCTGTTGTATTCGGCGCATGTGATTTTTATTTATTTGATCTACACATGGTAGTAAAATGTCTCCCTTATCCACCGTCCACTGTGTCCAAATTGTGACCAGATTTCCTGGAGCCTCCCTGTATGCAAATTATGTGAGATATTCTTTCAAAATAATATGAACTTATTTATTTTAAGACAATTATTGATGCCATAAGTCAATGGTGCTACCTACCTGTCAATGATTTTAGAGACCGTTATGTTTTTTTAAATGGATTGACCATCCAGACCTATTAACAATTGATTGATATCCAAATACAATGGGTCCCTGACTACCTCCGGAGCTGGTCAGGAAGATCTGATCAATCATCTACACCTGTCTGTGGACAAGATCAGAATGTGGACATTTTAAGACAAAGGATGCATGTTAGAACCAGGTATAAAATGGGGCTTAGGTGGCGGCCGGGGCGGCATCCATGGTAGACAGGATGCGGACCACCTCAGCACGCTGTGTAGGGGAGATGTGTTGGGTCATGTGCACGATGGAATCCATGGCAACCTCAGGGTTGGCTTGGACCAGGCTAAAAAAAAAAAGAGGAGATGAGAGATTGTGAGTGAGATTAAGGAGATGCACAGTCACAGGTAAACAAAGGGTTAATGGAATAAATTGATTCTGTGGGAATCAGTAACATTGCACTTTCCTGACACCAGGAAATATCCCACTGCATAAACAGAGATGGTACTATACAAGGCTTTGAACTGACTGCTACCGGACATCTAAAGGCCAGTAGGTTTGCAGTGATCTGCCTGTTAAACAGGCTGTCTGTCTCACCTACGGATCTGCTTAAGGATGTGGTCCCTGCGGATGTACTTGATGTTCTCGTCGACGATAGACCTGGCCCCCTCCTCCTCCTTCAGCTGCTTCTCCAGCCACTCCACTACCTCCTCATTGCTGTCCCACAGATACGCCTGCGCACACACAGAGACAGAGCGAGAGCGAGACGAAGAGAGAGGAAGATTTACTCAATAACAGATTCTTTTTTTGGGGCCTTAAGTTTACCCATATTACTGGAAAAACATCCCCGTCCGACCCCATGTTTGTTTCGAGCTGGAGAGTACTACAATAATTTTCTCATAGCCATGCTTGTTTGAACTAGCAAACCAAAAAAGTGGAAAAATAATAATAATAGTATCCTATCAGAAGTGAAAGAAGTGCGAGAGCTACAAAGCAGACCACTGATGCCTTTTTGACTGGACCTGATAGAGAAATCCATATTCATGAGTGCAGCCAGTCTCTGATCCCAAACAAAGGCAGACGGGGGGCTTAGGCAGATTGGGAGGGCGTGACCTCACGCCGTTTTAAGAGTGCTCCTGCTTGTAGTCCGCAAGAACCTTTAATGCCATTAATCATTTTTTATCCGTTTGCTTTTAATTAAGAAACAGCGTGTCGCTCTCCTATCTGCACGTGCCAGGGCTCAGATTAATTGTAGCTTAAGATAGCCGGCCCTGATTGGAGTAATGTATTAAGCTAACAAGACGACCGCTTCTAAAGATACTCTCAGTCTACCTCAGGAGCTGGGCTTTTTCTAGTCACCCCTGAAGGCAGAAGTCTGGGCTGAGAGGGACATCTCTTCTCTAACCATCACTTCTAGTTATTTCTACCTAGCCATATCCAAGACACCACAACTCCTGGTTTGAAACTGAACTGAATGTATTTTTTTTTTTAATGACTCAAACCAGACTTCTAATTATGAGACTGTGAAGGAAGGTATAGATGTATAATCTGCAGCCTCTAGTTGACAGTGACTGTCAGTGTCTTTGTGCTGTGGTGGGCTGGTTTGAGGAAAGTAGAGGAGCAGGTAGTGGACAGTCACCTTGACGGTCCCTTCAGCCTCTACGAACCAGCGTCTCAGCATGGCCTGGATCTGTCCATCGGTCAGCTCGCTGTTGGCGACCTGGATCTTCATCTTGACCGTGTCCTCCAGCAGCAGACGCCTCAGACGCCAGTAGAAGAAGTGACGTGACGTCCGCCACTCCAGGATGTCCTGGGAAACCATAAACACAGCAGAGCTTCAGAGAGGAGATATCTCACCAACTTCTTCCTGACAAGCCATACTGGCTGACACTGTAATTTTAACATTTAAATTGAATCGTATATTGTGTAGTTATTCGCCAAAACATTTTCTAATATCTGACATTACTTAGTTTACATACATGTTTTATTATTTTGAACTGAATAAAATATCTTTGTACATTATGATATGAGAACTTATGAGTGCAAGAGAGACTCCAGAGACTAGAGGAATCCATCGGTCCTTGGTATTCTACTGGGAACCTGTGTGTCTTTCAATCACAGATTATTGTGCGGTTGCATTTGCAGGCATTCATCAAATAATATTTTGCTGATACATTTGCATGCATCTTGAGAGTGTCAGATAGATTGTCATCTCTTATACAGAAATGCCCTAGCAGTCTTCTCTCATGAAATAACCCATTGTGCATACACGAGTGTGTGTGTCTGTGTGTTGCTAGAGTGTGTGTTTCAAGTGTGTGAGTTTGTGTGTGATGGAGAGAGCCTGGAATCCTGCCTGGGGCTGTTCTGTGCTTGCTGAGGTGATGGGCCGGGTCATCAGCAGGTAATTATAAAGACACGTCTCACAGCCAGAGAGATTGGAACACTCTATTCCCTCGGGCCTCTACTGAACACTATTCCCTAGGCCTCTACTGAACACTATTCCCTAGGCCTCTACTGAACACTATTCCCTAGGCCTCTACTGAACACTATTCCCTAGGCCTCTACTGAACACTATTCCCTAGGCCTCTACTGAACACTATTCCCTAGGCCTCTACTGAACACTATTCCCTAGGCCTCTACTGAACACTATTCCCTAGGCCTCTCATCAACTGCACCAGGCTACTGCATCCTGGGTAATACAGGCTTGGTTACTCACATACTGCATAGATACAGCTCTGTGTGTATGGAGTTAGATTATATCAAAGAAAAACTTTATGTAACATTTCTTCACATATATAGTACCAGTCAAATGTTTTTTTTTTTGTGTACTATTTCTACCTTGTAGAATAATAGTGAAGACATCAAAACAATGAAATAACAAATATGGAATCATGTAGCAACCAATATATTTTAGATTGTTCAAAGTATTCACCTTTTGCCTTGATGACAGCTTTGCACACTCTTGACATTCTCTCAACCAGCTTCACCTGGAATGATTTTCCAACAGTCTTGAAGGAGTTCCCACATATGCTGAGCACTTGTTGGCTGCTTTTCCTTTACTCCAAGATCCAACTCATCCCAAACCATCTCATTTGGTTAGAGGTCAGGGGATTGTGGAGGCCAGGTCATCTGATGCAGCACTCCATCACTCTCCTTCTTGGTAAAATAGCCCTTACAAAGCCTGGAGGTGTGTTGGGTCATTGTCCTGTTGAAAAACAAATCAGATGGGATGGCGTATCGCTGCAGAATGCTGTGGTAGCCATGCTGGTTAAGTGTGCCTTGAATTCTAAATAAATCACAGACAGTGTCACCAGCAAAGCAGCCCCACACCATAACACCACCTCCTCCATGCTTTACGGTGGGAACGACACATGCGGCGATCATCCGTTCACCCACACCGCATCTCACAAAGACACGGCGGTTGGAACCAAAAATCCCAAATTTGGACTACAGACCAAAAGGACACATTTCCACCGGTCTAATGTCCATTGCTCATGTTTCTTGGCCCAAGCAAGTCTCTTCTTATTGATGTCCTTTAGTAGTGGTTTCTTTGCAGCAATTCGACAATGAAGGCCTGATTCACACAGTCCCCTCTGAACAGTTGATGTTGAGATGTGTCTGTTACTTGAACTCTGTGAAGCATTTATTTGGGCTGCAATTTCTGAGGCTGGTAACTCTAATGAACTTATCCTCTGCAGCAGAGGTAACTCTGTCTTCCATTCCTGTGCGGTCCTCATGAGAGCCAGTTTCATCATAGCGCTTGATGGTTTTTGCGACTGCACTTGAAGAAACTTTCAAAGTTCTTGACATTTTCCGGATTGACTGACCTTCATGTCTTAAAGTAATGATTGACTGTCATTTCTCTTTGCTTATTTGAACTGTTCTTGCCATAATATGGACTTGGTCTTTTACCAAATAGGGCGATCTTCTGTATACCCCCCTACCTTGTCACAACACAACTGATTGTCTCAAACACATTAAGCGGGAAAGAAATTCCACAAATTAACTTTTTACAAGGCACACCTGTTAATTGAAATGCATTCCATGAAGCTGCTTGAGAGAATGCCAAGAGTGTGCAAAGCTGTCATCAAGGCAAAGGGTGGCTACTTTGAAGAACCTCAAATATAAAATATATTTTGATTTGTTTAACACTTTTTTGGTTACTACATGATTCTATATGTGTTATTTCATAGTTATCCTACAATGTAGAAAATAGTAAAAAGAAAGAAAAACCCTTGAATGAGTAGGTGTGTCTAAACTTTTGACTGGTAGTGTAGCTATGGGGGACCCTATTGCACCCTTCATTTCCATAGTGTTCTGATACAATCTCTGTTGTGATCACGTTTGCGTTCAGCGTGACTTTGTGACAGTGTAGTCTCACCGTGATGACGCCCTTCTCCTGCATGCGTCCCGGGGTGTCGTGGAGGTCGGCGAACTGCACGGCCACCTGGTGGAAGATGGGTAACAGGAACTCCTCCCGCTCCTTCAGTTTGGTCTCCAGTTCCTTCCTCTCTGGCGGGCCCAGCTCTGGGGTACCTGGGGAGGGGGACCAAAATGACCAGGAGGGTTCCAACACAAACCATACTGAGTAGGTTATGGTGAGGCAGGGATTATTCACGGAGGTCTGATTCAAGCCAGCTGCATGCGGAGAATATTTATGTAACATCAGAAACAAACATTCCAAGGACATTGTGTCAATGGACAGTGTGAACGTTTGGGATGGGCTACACTTCCTTATTCACTGTATTGGTATGACAACATGAGTGTTTAGGGTAAGAAGCTACACTCCCATTAGCATGGTGTTGGTTTTATGCAATAGTGTGTAAGCGCCACTCTTATTATCCCTGCGTTGGTTGGTTCTTTATGACTGTACAGTGCAGGCTCAGCTCAGCTCTCCGTTTCACTGTCTGTTTTGGTTAGGTATTCTCCAGAACCTCCGGCTGCTGTGCTGCCTGTCAGCGGAGATTGATTTCTGTCAGAGCCAATCGGTCAGTCTCCCCACCACAGCCCCTAGAGGCCTGGCGCTGGCCCATTGCTCAATGGCTCCATGGTGCTCCTGTGAGCCCAGAGGAAGATCAATAAGCCCGGGTTGGGTGGGGTGACTGGGCAGGAGGGACAGAGCAGGCCCTGCTGATTGATCTGGCCCTGCCGTGATTGACACATCTCCCCAGGGAACAGAGCAGGGACGATACGATCACCCTCAGATAAAGAACAAGAGTGACAGGGAATTACAGCACACACACACACAGCTAGATATTACCATCCCTCCCTCCAGAGAGAGAGAGATACAGAGGGAGAGAATGAGAAACAGAGCGAGTGAGAAAGAGAGGGCGCAAAGGAGAAACCGAAAAAGAGAGCGAAAGAGAGAAGGAGGAAGAGCAGTTGTGAAAGAGTTGATTATTAGCAAGAGAGAACAGCAGAAGTAGAACGACATTGTGATTGAGAGAAAGTTGGAGTATTTTACTCACCCAATCTCTCTGCCAGGCCCATGTAGACCGGGTCCACCCTCCTCATAGTCTTCACCAGGTCCTTCTTCCTAAACTTGATCTCTACCGTTCCCTCTGGCTCCAACACTCCACCACTGTAAAACAGACAGAGGATATCGTCAACACAGCACCCAAACATCACTGACTGAACACTATTACAGTAGTAGAAGCATAGTCGGTCTGGAAAGTGCTTTGCTAAATGGGTTATGTTCAGAGAAACTCACCGACTGTCCTTGTCAGCGTACATCTCCATGTGGCGGGGGTTGATGGTGGGGTCTATGACCACCCAGGACCCTCCTCTGAGCTCTGCCTGGGGAGGGATGTACACCAGAACTGGCTGGCGGTACTCCCTCAGCCCATCCACGATGTAGGCCCCAAACTTCAGCACCTGGTCATACATGTCTGAGGGAGGCACAGGAGTGGGATTTTATATCAGACTGAAAACGCACAGACACAGGTATATAATATAATAATATAATATAATAATATAATATATAATAATAATATAAATATAATATATATAATAATAATATGCCATTTAGCAGACGCTTTTATCCAAAGCGACTTACAGTCATGCGTGCATACATTTTTGTGTATGGGTGGTCCCGGGGATCGAACCCACTACCTTGGCGTTACAAGCGCCGTGCTCTACCAGCTGAGCTACAGAGGACCACGCTTAACTAAGAGATATACAAACATATGTTATCTGTTACCTTTCATGCCTCCAGAGAAACCCCTCCAATTGGCGAACACCATGAGAGGGAGGCCCTCGCGGTTCAGGTCCTTGATGGCCTGTGCCGTCTTAAACGCAGAGTCAGGGAACCACACCTGGCCTGCCTGCTGGATGATCTGAGGACAGGACAACAGAGGGTTACAGTACGTGTGTGTGTATTTCTCGGTGTTCATGGGTGCAAAAAATGTGAATTAGGACAGAACATATTGCAGGTATTGAAAGGATGTTACCTTGGCTTCAGAGTCCAGGTTGGCTGGATCGGCTGGGATTGACAGCTCCACTGATCTAGTTTCCACAGCAACCACTCCAGTAGGTATGCCACCTAGCCTGTGTGAGAGAAGAGGGTCACATAAGGACAGGACACACAACTATGACACCCTGAGGGCTGATAGGAGGGTTGTTCGACCAAATGTCCCCTCATTTGAACAATTTGTTCAACTTTTTAAAAAAAAGCATAAATTACCTGGCTCTGCCCACCACCACACTCTGAGCCCACGGCTGCATGATCTCCATGAATGAGCCATGGTCAAAGAACCCACTTTGCCATGGGCCCTTTGGAGCTGGAGAAAGACGGAGAGAGAGACAGAGAAAAAGAGAGAGCGACAGAGTTTAAATATTTGATTATTACAAAGTAAACATTTGTAAATTAGAAATACCATTTGCCCTTATTTGGCAGAATAATACATTTTTCCCTCCAGATGCTGACCATACACTCATGTCATATCCATGCGGCCAAAAGCAGAGTTCTTTCTTTTGAAAACAAATCTCTAATCTTCAGACGGATGAGGCTGTAAAGAGCCTTGCTCAGCTCTCCTGTTCCTGGTAGAGTGAGAGCGACAGGGCTAGTCCAAGAGGTTACCATTCAATTAAGCGTCCCCACTCATCACAGCTAAAGACATGGACTGGTCTCCCTCGCGCAATGCACCGCCCCTCAATCTCTTCCTCTGCCCAAAGTTGTAATTACACTGATATGGAATCTGCTCGGGCCTGACCCTGCATGTAAAACCTAAGCCATCCATTCCCCTGCTATCTCCATCTCTTCATCCACCCAGCGAGCCCAGGGTTCACAGTGTCTCTCACAGTGTCTGGATGAGGAATATCCCCCCTACAGCAAGCCTATAACCCTCTAACAGTCAGGAATTAGTTTAACCCCTGACCTCAAAGACTCCAGCCACCCTAGTCATAGACTGTTCTCTCTGCTACCGCACGGCAAGCGGTACCGGAGTGCCAAGTCTAGGTCCAAAAGACTTCTCAACAGCTTCTACCCCCAAGCCATTAGACTCCTGAACAGCTAATCATGGCTACCCGGACTATTTGCACTGCCCCTCCACCCCATCCTTTTTACGCTGCTGCTACTCTGTTAATTATTTATGCATAGTCATTTTAACTCTACCCACATGTACATATTACCTCAACTAGCCGGTGCCCCCGCACATTGACTCTGCACCAGTACCCCCCTGTATATATAGCCTCCCTACTGTTATTTTATTTTACTTCTGCTCTTTTTTTCTCAACACTTTTTTTGTTGTTGTTTTATTTTTACTTTTTTTGTTAAAAATAAATGCACTGTTGGTTAAGGGCTGTAAGTAAGCATTTCACTGTAATGTCTGCACCTGTTGTATTCGGCGCATGTGACCAATAACATTTGATTTGATTTGATCTGCCGGAAATGATCGCAGCGTAAATCGCATGTCAACCTTTAAATGACAATCAGACTAAATGGATGTATGATGAGCCGCCTTTTTACACCTGCTGAGGCAGCACTAATGAGACTGGAGGAGAGGATGAATGACTACAAGTGAGTGATTCTTTTTTATAGAAGGAGAAAATTATAGGATCCTTTATTGCACAGCGATGGAAAGATTAGATAGAGTAGGTGATGAGTGAGGTACAGAGTATACAATATGTTGTAAGTGCACAATATGGTGAATTAAAAGTAGTTATTTCTCGTTTGTTGGGTACTGTAAAATGTTTTTGAAGAAATATTCATCTCTGTAGAAGAAAAGGGGTTACTCACTCTGGCCGGGGCGTCCTGCCAGCATCCAACGGGGGTCATAGGGGGCCTTGGTGGGCATAAACTCCACCAGCCGGTCTATGGGGTCCTTGGCATTGATAATGGGCACAGGACTAGATCGGTCCTATGGGGGACAAACATTCAGAAAGTCATGGAAAAAATGTTAACATTGCCTCTGAATTTAACACAGCTTCCCTGCGAGTAGCTAACAGCATAAAGGTACATTTGCATGGGTTAAGCCTAAATTAATGGACATTGGAATACATGTTGATAGTAAGAGCTGATGCTTACCTTGGGCATGTAGGAGAGCCAGTGCAGTAGCATGTGGACTCCCTCAAAGTCATCACACACAGTGCTGTGGGTCACACCGTTGTTGTGCATGATCTGAATCCCACCCAGCTGGTTGTTGGAGGTGTACACCTCTCTACCCAGCACCTACGGGAAAGAACAAGATGGGGGTGATGTCATATTCTGTTTAGCAATCGCTAATTCTTCCTTGAGTGTCAAACCATGTAAGCCGATTTCCCTACAAACTACAAACCGAGAGACCTCCAACCATATGTAGACACTAGATATACAATAATGGGTATTTTATGTCGTGATACACCCATTCTTCTCCCTACAGGGCATAGTGAACCAACCCCTTTGAGGCTTAGGGCTGAGGATAAAGGGTGGTGTCACCAAGGCTCTGGTCCCTGGGGCTGTGGATCAATAGAATCACACACACACACACTTGCCAGGGGACAGGGACCCTCCTGCTCCCTACCGTGGCACCAAACAGCCTCGTCAATACTGTCGATCGGTGGCTAGGGATCACTGCATCACGGCGGTCACGGGGGGCCGCTAGTGTCCGGCGCGCTCCCTCCCAGGGGTTATTTGTAACCTCCAGAGTGAATTAATACCCAATGTTTCTCCTCCCCGACACAATTCACCCACACTATCGACAGGAGCTGTGACAAAGAGCTGCCCGCTCGCACCGCACACTACCTCACAGCCTGTTTATGAGCAGGCACACACACACATACACAAAAACACACACGCATGCACAGTGAATAGCGTGTATGAGACAGCCTGTATGTGTGCGAGTATACTCCCGGTGTGAGAGGCTAATGAAGGATGGCATAGACCCATTAACCTACACTCCTCGCCACACACACGCAGGGGCGGGCAGCCGCGCAGGGGACACAGTTCCGTAAAAAACACAGAGAGGTGCTCGTTGATCACTCAGCTCTCACCTCTTCACCAGCATTTACTTTCTCTGTTCCCATTAATGGTTATGTCCCTGGCTACAAATCCTGGGCACTCTCCTAAAGCTGTCAGGCCAGCCCGTGGCCCCGGGAAGCATTGCATTCACCTTGACAGGCAGACGCAGAGCCTCTGCGCCACCGGGCTGGGCCTGGGTTCATTAAGATTCCACAGCAGAGGGAGAAAAGAGGTAGGGTGGAGGCGCGAGCGAGCGGAGAGAGGATGGAGGAGGGCCATAGGCTCTTCTAGTGGCCCACTGGGATATTTGTACCAGTAGCTACTATCCAGTCACCATACAAATAGGAGAAAGATGTCCATCAGTGAATGAAATGAGTGTCTTTAGATGACAGACTGTGTGTACCTCCTCCTCATACTGTTTTGGTGAACCAGGTAGTCTATGGGGATATAATATGAATGCAAAGTTATAGTGAATGTCTAGCTACATTTTTCTGCCATATTACTGTTGAATGGACGATCCATCATTGTGAATGGACACATTCAAATGTGACATCCATTTGATAACATGTTACAGTACATTTTTAAATAGGAAAACTATAGATTTACTGCTGCACTGGTAGATGTATACATTTCAGTAAATCTAGTTTTCCTATTTTAAATTTACTTGAACATATCAAATTGAGATGTCACAATTTTTCAAATGTATTGTAGCACATACTGTAACACAACCTCCTGACGTTTCTCTAGCATCCGAACACACACACACACACACATAAGAGCTTGCAGCAAAACCTGCAAATGGAAATGCGCATGTAGTTGTGTTTTGTCATGCGGCAATTTGTCATGTAATTTGGAATAGACTCATGTTAATGCAGAGACTGAGGAGAGATGAAGGGAAGAGAGACGGAGGGAGAGAGAGAGGGATGGGGGAAGCAGTGGGTAGTCAGTCCTAGTGGAGCTCTGAGAGAGAAAACAATCTGCCTCAGCAAAACTTTTCATTCTGATTGGAAACAAATTAAATGGGTGTCCTTCCCTCAGCAGCAGCCTCAGGCATCACGCTGCTATTTCTATGCAAATAACAACTTCACGCTTCTCTTTCTATTATTCCACCAGGAGCTGCAGCAGTATGACTGGGGAGACAGAGGAGGAGAAGGGGGGGGGGGGGGGGGGTTCAACCACAGAACAAGGGCGAAAAAGGCCTGATCACTGAGGTGGAAAACTGCACACTGAGTGAGAGAATAATACGGGATCAGAAAACACCATTATAATTTTTTATTCTTAGATTGAGACGTGATGCAGTCTTCCTGCCTCCATCCTAATTCAGAGGGAGCAGTCTGTTGTATTGTTCACTCTTAGGGGATATATCCTATCTATCCAATGGCCAAAGCTCTATCCTTACAGTATACAGTAACAAAAATACACACACACCTCTTTTTTCTCTTCCTCAAATTAACTGCAAAATAAGTGGCATGACGACTAATACATATTAATAGTGAAATCCATAGTTCATGCAATTAACGCATCTGCATTTTAATAAGGAACAATCTTTGTGCGTCACAGACGACGGAGCACAGTGCATAAGCACACATTAACATCTCGCCTATTGTCTTAAAAAAAAATACAGGACAATTAAAAGAGTATAAAATGACCGTCACGGTATCTGTTTTATAAATGGTTCATTTAATTATGTGTAGTCTTGTTGTTAGTGATGCATGGTGAGTGCTAAAGCTGAATATACCTTTTATGCTTCAGACAAAGAACCAATGTCCCTATGCAGAGGCTGCACTGCAACACTGCATCCTAGCAGAATATCTCTCACTATTTCAGTTGTGTGCCATGAGGTGCAGCTAGGACAGGGGGAGTGATGCTGGCCCTTACCTTGTTGAGAGCTCCAGCCCCAGTGAGGATGATGTGGGAGTTTTCGACCTGTATGGTCCTCTGACCCAGCCTAACCAGGTAGGCTCCGATCCCTATAGCGCGACAAGTCACCTGGAGAGAGAAGCACACACAGCCTGGTTAGGAAACCACTGGTCAAGTGCATGTCAGTGGTCAGGGTAAACCAATTCTTAGATTTGCTACCCTCTGCCAAAAGTAGCACTTAGAGATTCTCCGGTACTTTTGTATACTTTTTAGCCAGTAGTTCTGAAAGTAGCGGTCACGAGCAAAAAGTGGCCCCTGAAATATATCTGCAGATATACAGTTGAAGTCGGAAGTTTACATACACCTTAGCCAAATACATTTAAACTCAGTATTTCACAATTCCTGACATTTAATCCTTGTAAAAAAAAAAAAAAGTCCCTCCTGCAGCAAAGCACCCCCACAGCATGATGCTGCCACCCCTGTGCTTCACGGTTGGGATGGTGTTCTTCGGCTTGAAAGCATCCCCCTTTTTCCTCCAAACACAATGATGGTTATTATGGCCAAACATGTATATTTTTGTTTAATCAGACAAGAGGACATTTCTCCAAATAGTACGATCTTTGTCCCCATGTGCAGTTGCAAACCGTAGTCTGGCTTTTTTAATGGCGGTTTTGGCGCAGTGGCTTCTTCCTTGCTGAGCAGCCTTTCAGGTTATGTCGATATAGGACTCATTTTACTGTGGATATAGATACTTTTGTACCTGTTTCCTCCAGCATCTTCATAAGGTCCTTTGCTGTTGTTCTGGGATTGATTTGCACTTTTCGCACCAAAGTACGTTCATCTCTAGGAGACAGAACGCGTGTCCTTCCTGAGCGGTATGACGGCTTCGTGGTCCCATGGTGTTTATACTTGCGTACTATTGTTTGTACAGATGAACGTGGTACCTTCAGGCGTTTGGAAATTGCTCCCAAGAATGAACCAGACTTGTGGAGGTCTACACATTTATTTTTCTGAGGTCTTGGCTGATTTCTTTAGATTTTCCCATGATGTCAAGCAAAGAGGCACTGAGTTTGTAGGTAGGCCTTGAAATACATCCACAGGTACACCTGCAATTGACTCAAATGATGTCAATTAGCCTATCAGAAGCTTCTAAAGCCATGACATCATTTTCTGGAATTTTCCAAGCTGTTTAAAGGCACAGTCAACTTAGTGTATGTAAACTTTAGACCCACTGGAATTGTGATACAGTGAGTTATAAGTGAAATAATCTGTCTGTAAACAATTGTTTGAAAAATTACTTGTGTCATGCACAAAGTAGATGTCCTAACCAACTTGCCAAAACTATAGTTTGTTAACAAGAAATTTGTGGAGTGGTTGAAATACAAGTTTTAATGACTCCAACCTAAGTATATGTAAACTTCCGACTTCAACTGTATGTGCACCACGTCATTGCTCTCTCTCTCGCTCTGCTGTGTGTGCATCTTGCTAGCTGTCACTCAAATGGCGAGGGACTGAAGCTCATTGGCTAGAACTGGAATTGCTACGGGGGTGGCCCACGTGGGGGAAAATGTCACATCACAGCTTCCAGAAAACAGCCGCTTTTAATATAGGGATTTCTTTGCTAACTGATGTAAGACAGTAATTCTGCTCCTAGATTCTACATGTATGAACTACACATTGACACATCCAGCCCAAAGAAGGACGTTTAAAAATATACTTAGTAGTTGCCAAAGTCCCGGAGTATGTCTATAAGTAGTAACTTAGACATGAAAGACAGTTTTGCATTAAAGAGGTGTTAAGTCCACCATTCCTATAAGTGCTGTGCGTAGGCCCGTGTGTGTGTCGACGTGCGTGTGTGTTGGTACATCCAGTGTGTCGGTGCGTACCAGGTTCATGGTGATGACCTCATCGTAGGCCAGTGAGGACTCTCCAGCGATCATCCCGGAGCCCTTCAGGTTCTCCACCCCCAGACCCTCCTCCTTCCCGATGATGTCAGTGATCTTGTACCTTAACAAGGAAAGGCTCAGTCAGACACATCACGCCTCTCTCAGTGGCCCTCATCACTTCATCCTTTTCCTTATTCCACTTCTCCCATTGTGCAAGGGGCTTTTCATGTGTATTCATGCACAGTCCATTGATTCTCTTAATTTGTAGATGTACAGTTTCTCCGCTGGCCTAAGCCAGTGAGCTGGATGTATTATCTGTATTGATTAGGTTGACGGTGAATAATAATATGGCTGAGGGGTAATGCCTGGACTCACCTGGACTCTCCCTCATCCTCTATGTGTTCACAGTGAACAGAATTCAGGGCTGACACCTTCTTGTAGTCCTGAGGGGTCAGGTACAGGTACTTGAAGCCCTGGAGAGAGAGAAACAAAGACTTTGAATTAGCACACTGCGAGGGGCATACATACTTGGGTAGATTGATTTGATTGATTTATTGGGAAAAAAAGATGCACCGAGTACAACCCAGGGGATTACACGTTAAAGCTAATATCACTTGTTTCCAACGTGGTCCCTAACGGAATACACCCAATACAGACAAAACACAAGAAAACAACAGTAATCCCTACAGTACAAAACAGCATCACAGTAGAACCATCTGCTAACAGAGAACTACACTACTAATCTCCAAATCAAAATAGAGTTTAAATTCTTCAATAGAAGGTCTACGCCCCCATGCTCCCCTTCTGCCAGCTGACCTTGTAGGGGTCTGCCGTGTCCTGCCAGGCTACATGGAACATGTGTCTGATCTCCTCTGCCAGGCCGATGCGGGCACCGCTGTTGGCAGAGATGTAGATGCGAGGGATGCCACTCTCCCTGGACATCTCTGACGCCTGCAGGAACAGCAGGTCCTCCTGCGGGCCAAACGAACCAATCTTGTGTGTGATGTCATTACTGATCAATATGATCTCACGCCCTGCCGGGTACTCTGGGGTCCTGAGGGTCATCCGCCAGGCCACCATGCCAATCTAGAGGGACACACACACAGGTACACATATTCATTTATGTAGTAGAGACATTACTGTTGTATGCATTTTCAAAAAGACAATACCCATGCAATACAATAACCTGGCAAACAGCTACTGAACAATCCTGCCAAAGAAACACAGAGACACCTACAGATCAGAACTGGAACAGCAACTTTATAGGAGTGACTCCTCACCTCGTTCCCTCCTGGTAGACGGTTCATCTGCACCAGCTGTCCCTGTGGGTCCAGGACCAGCTCAGTGAAGGTGAGCAGCTCAGAGGGCAGAGGGCATTTGGGCAGGTGGGCGAAGGCTTTGGTGGACTGCCACAGCTTCTTTAGAGCCTGGAGGAAAGAGGAGCCAGGTAGACGAGGGACTGCTGCTCACTCTTAGTATAACAAACTTACTGGAAAGTGATAACATGCAGGGTTGAAGTCAATTCCATTTAAATTCAGGGGAGACGTTTTAATTAATCAAATTTGACATTTCCCATTATTTTACTATGTGAGATCTTCATTTCATGCATTAGATTTCAATTAACTTCCTGAACTGACCGAGTTTAAATGCAATTGACCCCAAACATGATAGTATGTTTTTATGTACACCATCAACGGAGACCACTGTGGGCCGTTGTGTCACGGTCTGTACCTGTCTGACCATCTCAGGGAAGTCATAGACGTAGGTGGTTCCCAGGGACTGGGCCTGGAAGCGTTTGGACTGCAGCAGGTCCTTGGTCACATAGGGGGTGTTGATGAGCATGCCATGTAGAGGACCCTGCTTGTCCCCATATGCCTGGAACATGATCTGGAGGAGAGAAGACACAGAGTCACTCACCACACACAGATACTAGCTGCCCTTTGCAACACACACATCTACAAAAACAACACAGAACACAGTACCCAATATGTAATGTAATGAGGACAGACATCAGACATGGAGCATATTCCAAGATAAACATGAAACGGTGAGAATGGTGTTCAGAGCTGTGGATTCAGTTACAGTGCCTTGTAAAAGTATTCATCCCCCTTGGTGTTTTTCCTATTTTGTTGCACTACAACCTGTAATTTATATGGATTTTTATTTGGATTTCATGTAATGGACATAAACAAAATAGTCCAAATTGGTGAAGTGAAATGAAAAAAACTACTTGTTTCAAAAAATTCTAAAAAATTAATAACGGAAAAGTGATGCGTGCGTATGTATTCACCCCCTTTGCTATGAAGCCCCTAAATAAGATCTGGTGCAACCAATTACCTTCAGAAGTCACATAATTAGTTAAATAAAGTCCACCTGTGTGCAATCTAAGTGTCACATGATCTGTCACATGCTCTCAGTATATATACACACACATCTGTTCTGAAAGGCCCCAGAGTCTGCAACACCATTAAGCAAGTGGCACCATGAAGACCAAGGAGCTCTCCAAACAGGTCAGGGACAAAGTTGTGGAGAAGTACAGATCAGGGTTGGGTTATAAAAAAATATCAGAAACTTTGAACATCCCACCGAGCACCATTAAATCCATTATTAGAAAATGGAAAGAATATGGCACCACAACAAACCTGCTAAGAGAGGGCCGCCCACCAAAACTCACAGACCAGGCAAGGAGGGCATTTATCAGAGAGGCAACAAAGAGACCAAAGATAACCCTGAAACCTGTTTCAGTCTTCCAGAGATTTGAGACTGGGACAGAGGTTCACATTCCAGCAGGACAATGACCCTTAGCATACTGCTAAAGCAACACTCGGGTGGTTTAAGGGGAAACATTTAAATGTCTTGGAATGGCCTAGTCAAAGCCCAGACCTCAATCCAATTGAGAATCTGAGGTATGACTTAAAGATTGCTGTACACCAGCGGAACCCATCCAACTTGAAGGAGCTGGAGCAGTTTTGCCTTGAAGAATGGGCAGAAATCCCAGTGGATAGATGTGTCAAGCTTATAGAGACATACCCCAAGAGACTTGCAGCTGTAATTGCTGCAAAAGGTGGCTCTACAAAGTATGCACGCTCAATAATTGTTTTTTTTCTTATTTCTTGTTTGTTTCACAAAAAAATAATATTTTGCATCTTCAAAGTGGTAGGCATGTTGTGTAAATCAAAATGATACAACCCCCCCAAAAATCCATTTTAATTCCAGGTTGTAAGGTAACAAAAATAGGAAAAATGCCAAGGGGGGGTGAATACTTTCGCAAGCCACTGTATATCTACATCTGCAATAGGAGACCATGTTTTTTAACATCCCAATCAGCTGTGCACATCGCATATCTGTCTGATTAGGTCCTTTGACCAGACCTGGCAACCTGAGCGGTCATTTCACATTAGAGACAGGAGCATATCGACTCCTCAGAATGAGAACACAATAGAAGTCATTTTGGAAGAAAAGAGGAGTGCATCTAACACATCTGGCTATTGAGACATGTTAGGTCCATGAGAACAAGGTAAGAATAGGTCTGATGTCACCTGTGCTTAAGTGTTAATGAATAAGGCTGAGCACAATGCACCGGATCCTCACTCAACTCAGCGCCATCTACCACCTCCAAAATAGAACCCAGATTGAACTCCTCTTTCAGAGTCAATGTCATAAAACAAATAAAGGCACCTGCCCAGAAAACAAATGGGAAGCGTTACATTTCATTATTTCTCACTCAACTATGGTTCACACACTGTAGTAGTGGGGGCATTATTTTTCTTAACCACTCTAAGCTGCTGCATATGCTCTCTGCCAATGACTGTTTGATTTATGGGTCATTTCCCCTGGTATTGCAATGGAATGGGATGACATATAGATGACTCTAACTTACCTGTTCTCCTATATAAAATAAAAATATAATGATCACTGTTAGTCTTGTCCAACAGGCTAGAGGCTGGCCAGACCACTTACAGAACCCTCAGCTCCACTTTACACAGTAGACTGACTGATCCACAGTTGGCATGTCATTTATTTCTTAACTAAACTTGAAAATACTTGAGCAAGAACCAAGAGTGGCCCATTAAGGTGCATTCTGGGAGCTGAAGATTCTGTATGAAGCTGCTTCCCCTGCCTGTGATTGGATGGGAGTGTCGGGCGTGAGGGATGAGTGACGTGCGAGTGCCCCACCTGTCGATCTTTGGGCCCCAATTGTCCCGTACGGGAGTCAGTGACCTCCTTGTACAGGCTGATGTCCAGGTAGTAGCCTGACTCGTTGGTGAGGAAAAGGCGGATGGGGATCTGTTTGCCTGTGGGCGTCAGCCGGATGTTGATCTTTAGCTCAGCCTGGAGGACCCGGAGCTTCCACAGCCTACTGCCGTAACGCATCACCATGGAGCGCACTGACTCCTCAATCTGAACATGGTTACATAGAGAGAAGTTCGTAATAAACAATACAATACCAAAACACATCACTAAATGTACAGTGTACAAACATGTACAAACAATGTACATGTGTGAACACAGTGTATGTACAGGTCTTGGGTGTGCTGCCACTGACCTTGGAGGGGTCCATGATGACGGTGGGGACAAAGTTGAGGAAGATGTGGTTGCAGTCGGTGCGTACGGTGGTGTTGTTGAAGGCCACCTCCAGCTCGTCCATGGCCTCCAACAGCAGACGCTCTGCCTCGTTGTGGAGGTACTCAAAAGACGCCTCCTGGAGATAAGACACAGGACAGGAGCAGAGGTCAGAGGGGGGTGTAACAATCAAAACACACACACAAAGTGGCATGTAAGCATTGTGTCATTATTGCTCTCACCTTGGTGACCAGGTCTGAGTGACGGATGATGGCCCGGACAAAGAAGCGGTAGTCTGTGACCTCTGTGCCCACCTCCACGCGGGCAGCGCCTAGATATAGGTGCATCTTGTGGTTGGCACAGGGGATGGCAGTCAGGGCAAAGTTACGCATGCGGTTCAGCTCCAGCTGGAAGGCCAGCGCAGGCTCCAAGTGACGGTAGATCCTATCCTCCTCAAACTGGAGACGCAGGGGGACAGTCAGTTACACAGCAAGGCAGTCACACAAGAAGACACAGTCACAGACAGCAGGACACAGCCATCCACAGCAAGATACTGTCACACCAACCAATTGAGGGTTCAAGGGATGGGAATGATCTTTCCTCAAGGCCTAGAAATGACTTTACCAGTTAGGCTGCCCTACCATCATCCCCAATATTAATAGGGGCAGAAGAAGGGGAAATTGGCTGTTTCAGGAGCATTGGGTTTGTATAAGAGTAGAGGGTGCCCGCCAGCCATACACTGCATTAAGTAAATTAAATCAAAGGCAATCTCAGCCTGCTAATGGGTGTAATTTCTCTTAAATGGGGACATCATTAAATAGTTTGTTACGGTAATGAGTTTTGGTGGTGCCATTGTAGTGAGACTATCAGGGGCTTAGGCAGGGGATGAGCCATCATTGATCATGATGGAGAGCCTTTCAGTGCCAACGAAGGGATGAGCAAGGACAGCAGGAAGGTACTTCTGCAACCATCTCATTCAAATTGCCTCACCTCAATTGTAGCCATCATGTGAAATTGACACTTGCCTAGTTGAAACTGGCTTAGCTCTTCCACTGTAACTCTAGTCTACACATTGAGAAACGTGGCGATTTGGGCTCATCTTTCATCTCAGTATTATATTCAGTCTGTGTGTTTGCACTTCAAATATGAATCCCCTTATATTTTTGGGATGGATTCAACCCATTTGTTGACCACTGAGCAGACTATTCCCAAATTATTTTATGGTAGCCCATAAAGCCAGTGTTCATATTGACAGACCGTGTGAAGACACTCACCTTGTCTCTGGACCGGAAGGTGAAGAACTTGGGGAACTCTCTCTGTGTGAGAGACAGACAGGTGAGGAGAGAGTACAGTTACACAAACAGATTCACATGTTGTGAAGAACACGCGTTGTCAACCTACCAGTTCTACTGGTTAATACAGGCTAAGAATGAGAGTTAGGGCTTTGAGTCCAGGAATTCAAGGATCCCTGCTATGCTGCAACTAAGGGTGTTTTCACATATAGTCCTCTTTAGTGTTTTCACACTTGGTCCCTTTCAGCCAATTTTTGTGAACTCAGTGTGGTTTGCTTAATTTTTTGTCCAGTGGGAACAATCCAATGGAACTCTGACCCCTCGAAAGAGCCCCCGAAGTGAACCGAACTGAGACCATCGAGAGGTGGTCTGAGTTCGGTTCGCTTGAAATCCTTGGTCCAGTTCCCTTTTTTAGGGTTCGCTTGTCATTATTCCCACACCACACACTAGACTACCGCAGCACCGTTTCCCCTGCCATAACCCTTCACACTAGACTACCACAACACCGTTTCCCCTGCCATAACCCCTCACACTAGACTACCGCAGCACCGTTTCCCCTGCCATAACCCCTCACACTAGACTACCGCAGCACCGTTTCCCCTGCCAAAACCCCTCACACTAGACTACCGCAGCACCGTTTCCCCTGCCATAACCCCTCACACTAGACTACCACAACACCGTTTCCCCTGCCATAACCCCTCACACTAGACTACCACAGCACCGTTTCCCCTGCCATAACCCCTCACATTGGTGCCACAAAAGAGAGAAGATGATGCTGTGCAGGTTCGCAGAAAAAAAACCTGCTGTTTTTTTTTGTGATATTGATTAGCGATTGTTAAGGATGCACAGAAATTCCAAAATCTGTGGAGTTTTTAGTTCAGACTATTTTTTTGCAATATGTGATCTATAGGCTAAGAGAGCTTCATAAGCTGTTTATTCGCTTGTGGGGTTTGAATAGTGTGAGAACATATTTGGTGAGAATCACAACATAGGGTACAAAATCAATTCTAGTTCTTAAAGGGGCAGTAGCCTACATTGGGTGTACAATTGTCAATTAGAGCATTATTTAATCTGCAGTTATTCTTCTGCTATTTATTCTGTTACCAATAATATTTACATGTTAATAGTATCTTCTGATTAAAAGTATTATGTCTCATCTTTTAACTAAATGCAGCTAAAAGCTTCCAGAATTTGCTTCCAAAATGTAAGTAGGTATATCTAGCTGTCTGATAACACATTCTGATGGAATGGTTTTTCCTGCACATTGTAAAAACCCAGAGTGCATTGAGTGAATGTTGGAAAAAGATCTTTGTTCCTTTCTAAACGTAGCAATGTGAATGCAAAGAGGACTCGGACCACAAAACAGGTAAAATGAACTGGCAAAAGAGTTGAGTCCTCATTCAAAGGCAAGGGCAGTGTAAATACAAAGATAACATTTATTTTGCTGTTTTTTTTTACCCCAGAGTTCACTTTAAAGAGGAATGAGATCGGTTATTTTCAAGAGGACTATATGTGAAAACACCCTCACTCTCCGTTCGGTTCGCGTCAGGGGGCTCTTTTGAGGGGTCTGAGTTCCTTTGGATTGTACACACCACAAAAAATTAAGTGAACCGCACTGAGTAAAAAAAAAAAACGTCTGAAAGGGACCAAGTTTGAAAACACCCTAAAGTTACAGAACCATCTAGACTAAAAATAGACATGACATCTAGAGAACCCAATGACTGCAGGTGAAAATGACAGTGACATTCTAACAAGAGTAAGCAGGTACATTTCCTTCTAAGGTTCTACATTTCTCCCTTAATGAGCTGTGATGAGCGCTATCATGTGAATTGCTGTGAGCTTGAAGAGGAACACTATGGCATCAGTCTTTGATCAGCCACAGCCTGTTTAACATTCAACAGCCCTGATCTCGTCCTATTTGGCCTGGTGTCCGAGGGTGAAATTACAGTTTATCTTCCCAAAACGTCCTTTTTACATAATGACAGGGAGCAGTCACATCTGAACTAATGAATAAAACATTATCTTTCCAACAGGGAGTGATTTGTATTTCTGAATGCTCAAGCTAGAAGCCTGGTTGGCAGGTTTGGCTTTGGTGATCGTACCCCACTTGGCCAAACAATACTGGCCTAATTGCAAACACACTCATCAACTCAATGTGTACATGATGACAAGAGAGCTGTCAGAGAGCTGTGTTCTAGTATGCCCACTACAAGCCTGTATACAGGACTGACTTGACAACAACACAATGATGTTAGTACATCACATCCCCTATTCTCTCTATAACAGAGAATACAGGATTTAATATGTGTGAATACACTGGTCAGTGTAGTCTGTGAAGAGGGTAGGCTATTCAGAGGAACTGAGTATGTGTCTCCTGTATGAGACACAAACCCACATAACGAGGAGGGCCACACCAACGGCAGGGATTAGCTCTCATCAGCACCCGTTCTTCTCTTAAAGGGTTTCCACTAGAGAACACAGACACAAAGTCAGATTCCACAGCTACAAGGTCCAAATTGGCTACACAAATTTGCTTTTTGGTCTTAATTTAAAGTTAGGGTTAGGCATAAGGTTAGCAGTGAGGTTAAGGTTAGGTTTAAAATCAGATTTTAACAAGAGAAAATGTAGAAATGGGTGGGGTTTAGCCATTATTATGACTTTGTGGCTGTTTTAACTAGTGACGACCGAGTCAAAGGCCTGCAGTCACGATGCGGGGAGAGAGAAGGGAACCTGGCATTTACCCACATTTCTTTAGTCTCAAATGCTGTCATTATCTCCCTGAATCCATCTAAAAGCTACTTGGAGTGCTTAAGGGAGAGTTGACGATACAGGAAGACAAACTGTACTGTTCCGCAGTCATCATCCACATCCTCCCAGTCTACTCACATGAAACCTCTGGTCCACCTCATAGTTGACTGCCTTCCTGAAATCCTGTCAGCACAAACCCCACAGCAAAGGCAAGACATGGACACAGAGAGGGAAAAAAAGATAGAAGAGATCGAGAGCAAACAAAACAGCCAAATTTGAGATACAAATTAGTCAAATTACAGGCCATTCCAAATTAAACGTGTGACTCTCTCGTGCCGTCTGGATGTCTGTAGATTCAACCAGTATCATTGTGATTAAGATAAGATAGATTGATGGTGATTGGAAAATAGTTGCTTAGAAAACTGAGGGTAGAGTAGGGGAGTGGGAATCTTAGTCCTCACCTTCTGAGCTACCAGGAAGGTTAGCCTGCGGATGCCATGTTCAAACAGCAGGGATTTCTGGGGGATGAAGAAACAGGAAGAGAATGTGTGAGCGACCGGGAGGCAGGTAGCCTAGTGGTTAAGATCATTGGGCCAGTAACCGAAAGGTCACTGGTTCGAATCCCCGAGCCGACTAGGTAATATATTTGTATGTGCCCTTGAGCAAGGCACTTAACCCTAATTGCTCCTGTAAATCGCTCTGGATAACAGTGTCTGCTAAATGACTAAAATGTAAACGTGTCCAGTTGTACTTCCTGAAAAGCTCATCTGACCTCTGACTGGGTGAACTCCCGGAACATGGCAGCAAGGCCGTCGTCATCGATGTCACTGTCAGTCTTAATGGCCACATTGAGGATGTGAACAGGCTCATCTTGGATACTCTGCGTCACAAACACATGCAGACAAACATCAGTCATACAATTCAGAGAGAAAGTACAGTCACAACCAATCTTATTGGCACCCTTGATATTTGCCGCGTTCCTCTGCCTAGGCACTGCTGACACCTGCCAGATCTTACAATGCCTTGATAGGTATTTTATGTATCAGCTAACCACATCATATGTTATAGCAATCCGTCAGTCGATGACACAGTCGATGACATGGCATGCAACCAATGGTTGATGCATGCAACGCTTGAGCAGGGGGACGCGACCAAAGATAAACAAAAAATATGATATAAAATAAACAATACAAATATTGCGCTATATTGTATGTGCATTTTTTGGGGGGGAAATTATATTATTTTATACTAATACAATTGCTCCGACAAAGAGATTTTGTTTAACAAGTAATACTTTTTTTCTCTAAAAAAGACAGGGGTCAACATTTTTGGGACTGAGACTTTCTAAAATGTTTTATGAGATTGGAGAACACATTGGGAGGGATCTTAGGCCATTCCTCCATACAGAATCTTTCCAGATCCTTGATATCCTTAGTCTGCGCTTATGGACTGCCCTCTTCAATTCAAACCACAGGTTTTCAATGGGGTTCAAGTCCGGAGACTGAGATTTCTTTGTGGATTCTGAATGGAGAAATGATCTAAGTCAGATCCCTCCCAGTGTGTTCTCCAATCTCATAAAACATTTGAGAAAAAGGCTCAGTCCCATTATCCTCGCAAGGGGAGGGTGCCGGAGTATTGAAAACAGGGGTGGCAATAATTTTGACCCCTATCTTTTTGAAAAAAAATAAGATTACTTGTTAAACAAAATATTTTTCTCTGAGCAATTGTATGAATATAAAATAGTTTTACTCCAAATTTTTGCATCCAATATAACTCAGTATTTGTACTATTTATTTTATACAGTCTTTTTGCGCATCTTTATCAAGGGTGCCAATAATTTCAGTTGTGAATATTGCGACTAAGTGAAGAATAGCAAGGTCATTCTACTTTGTAGCATTAAACAAAGGGCTCTCTCAGTCACAATACTCTCTAGTGTTGCAATACACCTCAGAATCAGTACTAGCAGACAGTTCTGACCTTGATGTCTTCCTCTCCATAGAGCACAGGGTTCCCTCCCTCTGGGAAGGTAGGGCTGTGAGGAGGAGAGTCAGAGAAGCAGCTCATCACGTCTTTAATGTTCCTGAGGGAGAGGAAAGGACCACGGTTAGACACCACACACACTTAAGGTAATATCTCAGTATTACAGCTCCAATTCAATAACGCCATTTCCCAACGTGGGATAATAACAACATTATAATGTAATGATTTTGATAAGGTCAAAGAGCCCAGCCCTCACCTGGTGAACTCCTGGAAGGAGCGGAAGGAGACCATGGCTCCCATGCGCTGGCAGGGTGGGGTGAAGGAGGTGTCCAGGAGGACGTCACTCACGCTGCCCACGTGCACCATGCCGTAGTGGTTCAGGTTGGACGAGAACGTCATCCTGGGATCACAACACAGACAGCCGTTTGACCAGGGTCCTGCAGCAAACACATTCACTAACCCAGAGCACGGATCAGGGAAGAGCCCATTTATGGCCCAAAGGAGAGTCACCTTTAAGAGCCCCCCACCAGCCAGTTCTATCACACAGCAGTATTTATTATCTCTGTGATAAGCTGCTGGGACAGAAGGAACATTGTGACTCCTCATTCACTTCCATTCTAACACTAATATAGCAGTGTTCTCACAGAACAGTGAATGAGGATCTGAATATAAGAACCATATATGCCTCTTCTAGATCTGGATGTAATACTCATGGAACAACACAGCAGCAGTGTTCAAATGCTAAGAGGTAGATTAAGTGAAAGAAGAGCACATCTGTATAAATGTTAGTGGACATGGAAGCATAGTAGATTATCCCTCAGCCAAACATAGTAGAAAGACCTCAAATTCTTCTAGGTGCTTTTAGTATTCAGAGGTCCTTCCCTCCCCTCCACACAGAGGCCAAGTCCCCTTTTAGCGAGGTTAGGCCCAGAAGTTAGCTCACAGAATGATATGATATATAGCCTAGAGGCTGCTATTGGGCCCAACCTGTCCAAAGAGTCATCCGTATCTGGAGGTTTATTCTCCTCCGTTTTAGCATCATCCTTTGTTTTATCATCCTGTGCTTTAGTGTCCTGTATTTTACTGTCCACAGACACAGGCTTAAGAAGATGCAGGGGCAGCCAGTTTCCTGAGAGGACAGGACAGCAGCAGGAAGCACATTCAGAACATAGCTAGCACAACGCGAAACAGGACATCTGATCTCACTCAGCAATATTTGATAACATTCTGTTACAGAATATTACACAGTTAATGTATATGTAGCCTACAACATCTTTTGACTCCCCATTTCTCACCGGAACAAGATCCATGCTTTGTATACAGACAATATAGCATACAGTACATACACACCTACAATACAACCCACAGAAATAGACAGAGACTCTTTGTCTTCCCAGTATGCTGCATTATGCCATGCTGTTGCCATTGACTTCATAAACGACCCATGATCAACCAGATTCAGCTCCAATTGTAAAAATCTGATACATTTTTGGGATAATTTGTAACACAGAACAAGCAGTATAGCCAAACATTTAAATAATGCCAAACGTTATCTTGTCTTGCCACAAGATGCACTAATATATGTATATATGTGTGTGTGTATATATATATATATATATATATATATATATATATATATATATATATATATATATATATATATATATATATATATATATATATATATATATATATATATATATACACACATACACACACACACACACACACACACGTACACACACTGCTCAAAAAAATTAAGGGAACACTAAAATAACACATCCTAGATCTGAATGAATGAAATAATCTTATTAAATACTTTTTTCTTTACATAGTTGAATGTGCTGACAACAAAATCACACAAAAATTATCAATGGAAATCAAATTTATCAACCCATGGAGGTCTGGATTTGAAGTCACCCTCAAAATTAAAGTGGAAAACCACACTACAGGCTGATCCAACTTTGATGTAATGTCCTTAAAACAAGTCAAAATGAGGCTCAGTAGTGTGTGTGGCCTCCACGTGCCTGTATGACCTCCCTACAACGCCTGGGCATGCTCCTGATGAGGTGGCGGATGGTCTCCTGAGGGATCTCCTCCCAGACCTGGACTAAAGCATCCGCCAACTCCTGGACAGTCTGTGGTGCAAAGTGGCGTTGGTGGATGGAGCGAGACATGATGTCCCAGATGTGCTCAATTGGATTCAGGTCTGGGGAACGGGCAGGCCAGTCCACAGCATCAATGCCTTCCTCTTGCAGGAACTGCTGACACACTCCAGCCACATGAGGTCTAGCATTGTCTTGCATTAGGAGGAACCCAGGGCCAACCGCACCAGCATATGGTCTCACAAGGGGTCTGAGGATCTCATCTCGGTACCTAATGGCAGTCAGGCTACCACATGGAGGGCTGTGCGGCCCCCCAAAGAAATGCCACCCCACACCATGACTGACCCACCGCCAAACCGGTCATGCTGGAGGATGTTGCAGGCAGCAGAACGTTCTCCATGGCGTCTCCAGACTCTGTCACGTGCTCAGTGTGAACCTGCTTTCATCTGTGAAGAGCACAGGGCGCCAGTGGCGAATTTGCCAATCTTGGTGTTCTCTGGCAAATGCCAAACGTCCTGCACGGTGTTGGGCTGTAAGCACAACCCCCACCTGTGGACGTCGGGCCCTCATACCACCCTCATGGAGTCTGTTTCTGACCGTTTGAGCAGACACATGCACATTTGTGGCCTGCTGGAGGTCATTTTGCAGGGCTCTGGCAGTGCTCCTCCTGCTCCTCCTTGCACAAAGGCGGAGGTAGCAGTCCTGCTGCTGGGTTGTTGCCCTCCTACGGCCTCCTCCACGTCTCCTGATGTACTGGCCTGTCTCCTGGTAGCGCCTCCATGCTCTGGACACTACGCTGACAGACACAGAAAACCGTCTTGCCACAGCTCGCATTGATGTGCCATCCTGGATGAGCTGCACTATCTGAGCCACTTGTGTGGATTGTAGACTCCGTTTCATGCTACCACTAGAGTGAAAGCACCGCCAGCATTCAAAAGTGACCAAAACATCAGCCAGGAAGCATAGGAACTGAGAAGTGGTCTGTGGTCACCACCTGCAAAACCAGTCCTTTATTGGGGGTGTCTTGCTAATTGCCTATAATTTCCACCTGTTGTCTATTCCATTTGCACAACAGCATGTGACATTTATTGTCAATCAGTGTTGCTTCCTAAGTGGACAGTTTGATATCACAGAAGTGTGATTGACTTGGAGTTACATTGTGTTGTTTAAGTGTTCCCTTTATTTTTTTGAGCAGTATATATATATATATATAACACATATATATACACACACACATATATACAGTATCTCACAAAAGTGAGTACACCCCTCACATTTTTGTAAATATTTGAGTATATCTTTTCATGTGACAACACTGAAGAAATTACACTTTGCTACAATGTAAAGTAGTGAGTGTACAGCTTGTATAACAGTGTACATTTGCTGTCCCCTCAAAATAACTCACACAGCCATTAATGTCTAAACCGCTGGCAATGCTTTCCAACAGTCTTGAAGAACGTTCTTGACATTTTACGGATTGACTGACCATGTCTTAAAGTAATGATGGACTGTCGTTTCTCTTTTCTTATTTGAGCTGTTATTGCCATAATATGGACATTGGTCTTTTACCAAATAGGGCTATCTTCTGTATACCACCCCTACTTTATCACAGCACAACTGATTGGCTCAAACACATTAAGAAGTAAAGAAGTTCCACAAATTCACTTTTAACAAGGCACACCTGTTAATTGAAATGCATTCCAGGTGACTACCTCATGAAGCTGGTTGAGAGAATGCCAAGAGTGTACAAAGCTGTCATCAAGGCAAAGGGTGGCTACTTTGAAGAATCTCAAATATAAAATATATTTTGATTTGTTTAACACTTTGTTGGTACAACATGATTCAATGTGTTTTTTCATAGTTTTGATGTCTTCACTATTATTTTACAATGTAGTAAAAATAAAGAAAAACCCTGGAATGAGTAGGTGTGTCCAAACTTTTGACTGGTACTGTATATATATATATATATATGAGAGAGAGAGAAGAAAAATAAAACGCAACATGCATCAACTTCAAAGACTTTACTAAGTTACAGTTCATACAAGGATGTAAACAAATTTGTGCACAAAATTGGAGAGAAATAAGCTTTTTGTGTGTATGGGAAATATCAGTGCTCTTTTATTTCAGCTCATGAAACATGGGAGCAACACTTTACATGTTGCATTTATATTTTTGTTTAGTGTAGATCGTGAAATTACAATTTGATTAAATTCTAAATGTTGCAGGCATTACGGCTTTCAGCCACATTTCTCTGCAGATGATTGTTTGACCATGCTGCTTTCTAGTCTAGAGCTTCTACAGGTCTACCAGATGAGGCTGGTGGGAGGAGCTATAGAGGACGGGCTCATTGTAATAGCTGGAATATAATAAATGGAATGGAGTCAAACGTGGTTTCCATATGTTTGATACTGTTCCACTGTTTCAATTCCAGCCATTATAATGAGCCCGCCCTCCTACAGCTCCTCCCATCAGCCTCCACTAAGTTCTACATATTGGTTGCAATAAGAAGAATGTGTACTATACCTGTTTAGAGTTGGGATGTTCCCTCTGCAATCAAACAACACTGATTGGTTAGTTAGGCAGGCAGGCATCAGTAGGAGGATGCAGTCAGGGCTCAGAGAAGTGTGTGTGAATCATACAAGTGTGAGACTACGTGTTATGGATTTGGTTAGCGTGTCATATGGTACATTTTGAACATGGTGTTACCCCTGACAACCTAACATATTATAACAATCTTTATCATAAGGTAGGCCTTATTGTTGACTTCTCAAGGGCTTCATGAACTAACAATGTATTACAAGTGACAGCACATGGGCTGGATGTTCAGCGGTGTCAGAGCCTGTCCCTTTTATAACAAGACATCAATGTGACACTCTAGGGCACTGTCATACATCAAATATATTGTCTCATAAACACACACATTGCACTCTACAACTGATCCTCCAGAAATGCAACAATAGTCCTAAGCCTCCCTAGAGGCCTATTCTTTGGTCAGAGAGTATTGGTTCATTCCTGAGGTGGGAGACATGCATGTATGCAGCAAGCTTAGTTCCAATGAGGAAGCCAATCATGGTTGGTTAATGCAAATGGCTTAAACATTTTTAAAAGGTTAAACCAGGTGCATGCAACAATCTGAGCACAGCAGTCAATGAGAGATGGTTACAGCATCTCATGTCTGAGGGATCAACACACTGGATCAAACAGTTATATATCAGCCATATCAAATTGTACATGGGCACAGCAGCAAGAAGCAAAGAGATCATCATCCACAACATTACACACAGAACATGGGTATGTATCTGGGATCCATAACAGGCAGTCGACACAAACGTCGAAAATGTACAGTACAAGTCCTGAGTCTCTCTGGTTGTGTGTCACTGAAATAGATGTGAGACATATCTTCAGAAAGTTTAAACAATCTTGCAGTCATCCAGTGGACAGACTGGAGAGATCAACAAAAGTGGGACTCTTATGCTGACAGGAGACTAGTTACAGTTTCCACTCACACATTCTTTGTAAACCAGAGAAAGTATTTGAGCTCTCACAAAATACTTGCTTTTGCACATGAGGAGCGTTTTTCAGGGGTTGAACACAGTGGAATGTGGGTAAAAGAAGCAAGGCACCATAGATGAGAACTGGACCCTTCTGGAGATGGTGAAAGACAGTACTCTCCTTATACAGACTCTGGTCTCTTTTAGTGCTCATCTCCCATATAGAACCACCTCCCATATACAGTGCATTCGGAAAGTATTCAGACCCCTTCACTATTTCCACATTTTGTTACGTTACAGCCTTATTCCAAAAATTGATTAAATTGTTTTTCCCCCCCTCAATCTACACACAATACCCCATAATGACAAAGCAAAAACAGGTTTAGACATTTTTGAAAATGTATTAAAAATACAAAACTGAAATATCACATTTACATAAGTATTCAGACCCTTTACTCAGTACTTTGTTGAAGCACCTTTAGCAGCGATTACAGCTTTGATTCTTCTTGGGTATGACGCTACAAGCATGGCACACCTGTATTTGGGGAGTTTCTCACATTCTTCTCTGCAGATCCTCTCAAACTCTGTCAGGTTGGATGGGGAGCGTCGCTGCACAACTATTTTCAGGTCTCTCCAGAGATGTTTGATCAGGTTCAAGTCCGGGCTCTGGCTGGGCCACTCAAGGACATTCAGAGACTTGTCCCGAAGCCACTCCTGCGTTGTCTTGGCTGTGTGCTTACGGTCGTTGTCCTGTTGGAAGGTGAACCGTCGCCCCAGTCCGAGGTCCTGAGAGCTCTGGAGCAGGTTTTCATCAAGGATCTCTGTACTTTGCTCCGTTTATCTTTCCCTCGATCCTGACTAGTCTCCCAGTCCCTGCCTCTGAAAAACATGCCCACAGCATAATGCTGCCACCACGCTTCACCATAGTGATGGTGCCAGGTTTCCTCCAGACTTGACGCTTGGCATTCAGGCCAAAGAGTTCAATCTTGGTTTCATCAGACCAGAAAATCTTGTTTCTCATGGTCTGAGAGTCCTTTAGGTGCCTTTTGGCAAACTCCAAGCGGGCTGTCATGTGCCTTTTACTGAGGAGTGGCTTCCGTCTGGCCACGCTACCATAAAGGCCTGATTGGTGGAGTGCTGCAGAAATGGTTGTCCTTCTGGAAGGTACTCCTATCTCCACAGAGAAACTCCAGAGCGCTGTCAGAGTGACCATCGGGTTCTTGGTCACCTCCCTGACCAAGGCCCTTCTCCCCCGATTGCTCAATTTGGCCGGGTGGCCAGCTCTAGGAAGAGTCTTGGTGGTTCCAAACTTCTTCAATTTAAGAATGATGGAGGCCACTGTGTTCTTGGGGACCTTCAGTGCTGCAGACATTTTTGGGGTCACTTCCCCAGATCTGTGCCTCAACACAATCCTGTCTTGGAGTTCTACGGACAATTCCTTCGACCTCATGGCTTGGTTTTTGCTCTGACATGCACTGTCAACTGTGGGATCTTATATAGACAGGTGTGTGCCTTTCCAAATCATGTCCAATCAATTGAATTTACCCCAGGTGGACTCCAATCAAGTTGTAGAAACATCTCAAGGATGATCAATGGAAACAGCATGCACCGGAGCTCAATTTCAAGTCTCATACCAAAGGGTCTGAATACCTATGTAAATAAAGGCATTTCTGTTTTTAATTTACATTTGCAAAAATGTCTAAAAACCTGTTTTCGCTTTGTCATTATGGGGTAGTGTGTAGATTGATGAGGAAAACAATTAATTTAATCCATTTTAGAAAAAGGCTGTAATGTAACAAAATGTGGAAAAAGTGAAGGGGTCTGAATACTTTTCGAATGCACTGTAGAACCACCTCCCATATAGAACCACGTCCCATATAGAACCATCTGGTGTGTGTGTGTGTACCTGTTGGGGTGGGAGGTAGGCAGCATGAACTGGAACTCTACGATGCAGGTGTTGTCCTTCAGCTGTCTGTGCTGGACGCTGTTGAGCTCGTAGGCGATGTAGGCTCTACGTACATACACCTGGGATGGGGAACACAGACACAAGAGAGTTAAGACAGTAGAGATCTGGCTACAGTGGAGGATCGTTACCTTTAATCCCCTGAAATGTCACTCTTAGTTCAGTGGCAAATACAGTTAAATTCCCTGGGCAACCAGCTATGGTGGCTTTGAATCCAAAAACCACGGTCTGCTTCCTCTCACCTCCAGAGCAGCCATCCGGACCACCTGGTTACTGTGGTAGAAGAAGTTGGGCAGCACATCAAAGATGGACGTCTCGGACAGGATCAGTTTCTACAAAGAACGAGAGAGAATTCAGAATCTTGAAAATGCTGTGAAAAAGTAACAAGGATCCTCAATCCACTGCCTTCAGCAATGTCAATAAAAAGTCAACAACTGCCATTGTCCCTACCTGCAGGTTCTCAATGCAGAACTGGTGTCCGTACATGTCGATGGCAGAGAGGAAGATTGACTCCACCTGGTTGTGGCGGAGCTCGTAGGAGGGGAGGTGGGAGGCGATCAGCACCTGAGGAGGGGGAAACAGAGGGGAGTGAGAAGATGACAACTCTTACCCTGATCAATCACAAAAACAGGAAGACCCCCTTCAGAGACAGGAAGTGATGAGTGCTGACCTGGCGGGCGCGCAGTGCCACCTTGGCGTTGGTGGTCTTGCTGAGCTGGGTGAGCTCTGTCAGAATGGCCATCAGCTCGTCAGTCAGGGTGGGGTCACGGCCACACAGCTGGTCCTACAACACACACACAACTCTGGTCTTAAACAGACAGGACAACACACACAGTCAACTCTGTGTCTCACAAACACACTTATGAATTAATCATGACCAATATATTCATAAAGAGGGAAGGACTTACAATGAGCATGGTGACCAGGAGGTTCTTCTTGGTGACCTGGGCGTGCGAGAAGATGTAGTTTAACACGTTGGCCATGTCTCCCTTGTTCTCCTCACGCAGTGTGAACACACACTTGTCGTAGTGTCCTGGAATCACACACACACACACACACACACAGTATACAGGATGCAGAGGAAAAGGAAAATCAAACAGAACTCAAAGTAAGGCGCAAATGAAATGTGTGTTGTCTAACAGTGCCCTCACGTGGACAAATAGAGCAACTGCAGTCCTGAGAGAAGACCTTTGCATCCTATTTATAAATCAAAGACCTACAAGACTAAAAAGCAAAGGCTAATCCTTTCCTTTTCCTCTATACCAACCCAGGAACACTCATTGCTTAACATAGCCTGTTAATGTTCGCAGTAGAGTGTAATGTTCCTCACCATTCTGGAACTGGACCTCTACTTTAAGGTACTGTCTGAGCAGGTCCATCACCACAGCCTTCATGTGACCACGGATGCCACTGCGGTACCTGGGTACAAAGACAACATGGGCATGGTCTGGCACAGAGAATCAGCTATTAAAATTCCTGAAGCTGAGAGCAGGACTCACTTCTGCACCAGCTGTACAATGCTCTGAGTGTTCATGAAGAACACCTCTCTCTCCGACTTCCTGTTCAGAGTGGCAGCATGACTGTCCAGGATGTTGGCAATCTGGACCAAAGAACAGGCAAAATCAGTCAGGTGTATTCCCAATGCACTCTGCATATCAACAACTTAATATAACCATAAATAATGTAATAACAAACCTGAATAATACAATGTGTGTGTGTGTGTGTGTGTGTACCTGCTGGCTAGGAAACTGGCAGAGCACAGAGGTAATGTTGCTGGCGTACTGGGCCATCTCCTTCTTGATGCATTTCTCTACAGCGAGGGGGATCCGGCCTGACACACTGGTCATAATGTCCTGTAGCTCCAACAGCGGCAGGGAGGGGTCCCGAAGAGTCTTCATCAGCCTCTCCACCCACTCCTTGAGCTGGGAAAACAAACACACGCACACACAATATTACCAATTTATACGGATTAATGTTTGAACACAGAATATTGGCATCTTTTGTTTTTACATTTTTGCACGTATGCGAGTGTGTGTATGTATGCGTGCGAAAGTATTCACCCCCTTGGCATTTTTCGTATTTTGTTGCCTTACAACCTGGAATTAAAATGGATTTTTTGGGGGTTTGTATCATTTGATTTACACAACATGCCTACCACTATGAAGATGCAAAATATTTTTTTATGGTGAAAAAAAACAAGAAATAAGAAAAAAAAAACAATACTTGAGCGTGCATAACTATTCACCCCACCAAAGTCAATACTTTGTAGAGCCACCTTTTGCAGCAATTACAGCTGCAAGTCTCTTGGGGTATGTCTCTATAAGCTTGGCACATCTAGCCACTTGGATTTTTGCCCATTCTTCAAGGCAGAACTGCTCCAGCTCCTTCAAGTTGGATGGGTTCCGCTGGTGTACAGCAATCTTTGAGTCATACTTCAGATTCTCAATTGGATTGAGGTCTGGGCTTTGACTAGGCCATTCCAAGACATTTAAATGTTTCCCCTTAAACCACTCAAGTGTTGCTTTAGCAGTATGCTTAGGGTCATTGTCCTGCTGGAAGGTGAACCTCCGTCCCAGTCTCAAATCTCTGGAAGACTGAAACAGGTTTCCCTCAAGAATTTCCCTGTATTTAGCGCCATCCATCATTCCTTCAATTCTGACCAGTTTCCCAGTCCCTGCCGATGAAAAACATTCCCACAGTGTGATGCTGCCACCACCATGCTTCACTGTGGGGATGGTGTTCTCGGGGTGATGAGGTGTTGGGTTTGCGCCAGACATAGCGTTTTCCTTGATGGCCAAAAAGCTAAATTTGTCTCATCTGACCAGAGTACCTTCTTCCATATGTTTGGGGAGTCTCCCACATGCCTTTTGGCGAACACCAAACGTGCTTGGTTATTTTTTTCTTTAAGCAATGGCTTTTTTATGGCCACTCTTCCGTAAAGCCCAGCTCTGTGGAGTGTACGGCTTAAAGTGGTCCTATGAACAGATACTCCTGCAGGGTTATCTTTGGTCTCTTTGTTGCCTCTCTGATTAATGCCCTCCTTGCCTGGTCCGTGAGTTTTGGTGAGTGGCCCTCTCTTGGCAGGTTTGTTGTGCTGCCATATTCTTTCAATTTTTTAATAATGGATTTAATGATGCTCCGTGGGATGTTCAAAGTTTCAGATATTTTTTTATAACCCAACCCTGCTCTGTACTTCTCCACAACTTTGTCCCTGACCTGTTTGGAGAGCTCCTTGGTCTTCATGGTGCCGCTTGCTTGGTGGTGCCCCTTGCTTAGTGGTGTTGCAGACTCTGGAGCCTTTCAGAACAGGTGTATATATACTGAGATCATTTGACAGATCAAGTAACACTTAGATTGCACACAGGTGGACTTTTTAAAAACTAATTATGTGACTTCTGAAGGTATTTGGTTGCACCAGATCTTATTTAGGGGCTTCATAGCAAAGGGGGTGAATACATATGCACGCACCACTTTTCCATTATTAATTTTTTAGAATTTTTTTAAACAAGTTATTTTTTTCATTTCACTTCACCAATTTGGACTATTTTGTGTATGTCCATTACATGAAATCCAAATAAAAATCCATTTAAATTACAGGTTGTAATGCAACAAAATAGGAAAAACGCCAAGGGGGATGAATACTTTTGCAAGGCACTGTATGTATGTGCAGTAGTAGTGGACAACTACCTTTCCACTGAAAAAGGGTTCAGGCAGGCAGAAGCCACTCATGATGTGCACCAGGTGGTCCAGGGTGCTGTGGAAGACCCTGTGAAGCTTCTCTCCTCTCAACGCCACCGCCTGGATGATGGGCAGAGCCTCGTGGTGCAGCTCCGCCTGAGAGACACGCACGTTACAAAATACTTCTAAAGTCTCACATGGAACATTCAGTTTTGCTAATCCATATTTCCAGTACAAAATACAAGGAGCATATTTAGTTAAATATTGCTAAAATTACCCAGTGTCAGACACATCCTGCCACACTGACCTGTTGTACCCTGCTAGGATCATCTAACTGCAGCTTGGCGATGACACAGCCAGGCTCCAGCACGGCACCAGCCCTCTTCACATAGTGGATACAGCCAGACTCCAGCGCAGTCAGCGTCATCACCATCTTCATCACCTGAAACAGGTGGAGTGTGTGCCGTTGGCCAAACCATATCTTACCTAAATAACCAAATCCCAACCATACAACCATATGTTACACACCTCTATCTCAGCGTAACACTGGCCAGAGAACACGTGCCCCCCGTCCTCCACGGTGTACTGGATGAGTTTCCCTGCTGAGGGCGAGCGAAGCAGCGACGGGTCATTCTCCTTTTCAAACACACACGTCTTATTCCCAATGGTGATACGGTACCTGGGAAAAAGAATCTCTTTCAGTCTATTGCCCAATTCTAAATCAACCCCTAGCAATCCCCTCAAAATTCCTTTTAATAAAGAATGCATGTAATCTTTCTTTCTTTCTTTCCATCCTACCTGTCCACCTCCTCCTTCATGTAGGTGGTGTAGCTGCTGCCATCGTAGGAGAGCAACAGGCCCCCGTCGCTGAGGCGATGGACGTCCACCTCTGCTGAGGTGCTGTTCATGATGACCACATAGGAGTTGGGGGACTGACGTGTCACCTTCAGACAATACTTAGTACCCTCATAGATCAACTCCACATCCACGGTGTTGAGAAGAGTGTGTGCGGGCAGCACCTGGCCTCTGTAGAGGGGGAGAGGGGAAGAGAGGAGGGTGAGATGGTGTGTAGAATTGTGTAGGGTCAAAATCAATAGTAATCCCAAAGTCACCGGAGCACTGCAGCTTCTCGCTGGACTGAAGTTGTAACATTCTTAAATGCTTAAAGTAGCGTTCACCTTTCTAGAGAGTGCAGAAAGTTGGAGACACTGTTCCTCAGGTTGACGTCAGCCACGTGTAGAGCCCCGCTCACTATACCCAGGATGGTGTCAGGACGCTCCGCCTGCATCTTCTCTGAGATGAGCCTGTCCAGCCAGCCTGTGTCGATGGTGTTGTGCTGGAAGCTCTCCGTCTCCAGCAGCTTGATGAGGTACTCCACTGTGGTCCTAAAGTCTCCTCTGATAGACAGCTCCTTCAGGGCCACCACCATGTTACTGCGCACACACACACGAGAGGTGTTACCATACATCATTGGGTGTTACTGACTACAAACACAATGAACTTTACATGAGTATTTCTAATGTGTGTGTGTGTGTGTGTGTGTGTGTGTGTGTGTGTGTGTACTAACGAGATGGCCTCTTCTCGGTTCTCTCCCCAGGAGAAGCAGTGGCCAAACTGGGAGTCTGCAAACTCATGCAGGCCTCCGGCCGCTGCCACACTGAAGTATCCCCACACATTCTTGTTACTGCGGAAGTTCAGCTCCTGCACCGTGCCTGAGCTCGGCTTGAAACCCTCATCCGGGTTCTCACTGGTGATGCGGGCAGCGATGACGTGTCCACGTGGGGAGGGGGCCGTGGACAGACCCTCAAAGTCAATCATAGAGTCTCCCCAGGGCTGGACCCCATACATCATTCTGATGTCCTTAATACGGTGTAGGGGGATCCCCATGGAAATCTGAGGAGGAAGACCGTTATAGTCTGTTGTAGAAATAATTTTTGGTCAAACAAATGGGTCTTTAAAAGAATGATAAAAGTCCAATGTTTAGAAGTTAAATTATCATTATTAACAATTTTATCAAAGGGGAATTTCCCTTTCATTTCCTAAATGGTAGCTAGGGTTTTATTTGGCTGAAATAGAGGAACATAGTGTCTTGAATGAAACAGATATTTTCTCTCTCACTTAGAACACGGTTATGAACTTTCTCCTATGGACTCTTCCTGCCTGGACCTTTGTGTAACTCACTGAGAGGAGTCCAAGCCCTGTTGTATCCCATGTTTTGTCTGTTTTCCCTTCCTGCCTAGTGAGATTAGATAGTGTCTATGCTGCAGAGAGGTTGACAGACAGAGCAGATCCCTCCCTCACAGCACAGACAGACGCTTGCCTTTTTCAGCAGCAGCTCTATCAGTTTGTCTACACACAGCGGAGTAGACACGTGGGGGGGGGGGGTGGATTCCCTGTTTCTGCACATTAGCTTAGCTCGCTCTAACCTAGCCAGTTACCATGGAGACAGAGGCCCAGAATAAAACTCACTATCGAGAACAGTGAGGTGTGCCTACTCAACAGAGATGTACAACACAGACTGAACAGAAGCAGGGCAGGACACCACACACACACACACGTTTGTTTTGCTATCCTTGTGGGGACCAAACAATTGATTCCCATTCAAAATCCTATTTTCCCTGACCCCTAAACCTAACACCTAAGCCTAAAATACCCACTTGTCTAAATGTTCCTTGTTTTACTATCTTTCTGAAGACTTCTGGTCCCCACAAGGATAGTAAAACCAAACACACACACACACAGACCTGCAGCTGTGCAGCAGGCAGGTTGACGTCGGCCACCATCTCAGTACAGGGGTGTTCCACCTGCAGACGAGGGTTGAGTTCTAGGAAGTAGAAGCTGCCATCTTGGCTGTAGAGATACTCCACTGTGCCAGCACTGACGTAGCCCACCATCTTAGCCAGCTTCACTGCACACTGAGGAGTGAGGAATAGACTGTCACAACCCGGCAACCTAACCACAGGTCAGCGAGTTCCTCTGGTCATAGTCTCTCTCAAATTACAACATATTGGCATAGCTCTTCTCATGGCAAAGTCCCCATCCAATAGCAAAAATTGTGCCATACCCTCTCCATGTCCTCAAACACATCTGAGGCGGCGATGGTGGCAGGCGCCTCCTCGATGATCTTCTGGTGTCGCCGCTGTACGGAGCAGTCTCTGCCGAACAGGGAGATGGCGTTGCCGTACTGGTCAGCCAGGAGCTGGACCTCCAGGTGACGAGCGTGTTTGGCCAGCTGCATCACGAAGATGGGTGAGCCTGGAACCTCTGTCTGGACCTGAGGAGCCAAGGAGAGGGGGCATGAGGGGTTAGTCAATCAAAATCATACACATACTGATAACGTCATTTAGATAATTATACACATACTGATCATGTATTTCAGCCCATCATAACCATATACTGATACTGGAATTAGACTGGACTTCTCACCTGTCTGAAGAGGTTGGGGAAGTCATCAGCACAGTTGACTTTGCGGATGCCCTTTCCTCCACCTCCCTCTGAGGCCTTCACCATCACAGGGTAGCCCACCACCTCTGCAGCCTTCAGTCCTGCCTCCACATCATGGATGCAGCCCAGCTCATACAGATCAGGTGGAACGTTGATGATCCTCTTCTTCTGGTCACTCTCTGTCCACTCTACTGTGAGTCCTGAGACACACACACACACACTAGGGTTGGGCGGTATCCAGATTTCCATACCAGTGTGTTCGGTATTACCGGCAGTGCACACAAGGGGCTCTATTCCTTTCACCCCCAAAAAAATATGCTAACAAATGCTAACAAAGTACTAGAGAATTCCCATAGCGGATGCTAGCTAGATGCTAACAAATGCAAGCGAACATAAACTAATTGCAAGGACAGAAAACCCAAGTCATAAAGTTATTCAACTATCTCTAGTCACACTTCATCCAGGAGGGGATTGATTGTCTCTTCTGTAACCAAGAAGCTTGACCTTGCAAGCTAGCCACCTATAGCTAGCAAGTTAGCAAAACAAATGCATAGCTGGAGCCCTAAGCTGGAAAACATTTATTTGGCACATCTTAGATAGTTAACTTATAGTTATAAGATATTTAGCTGGCAAACATTAGTAGCTAGTGAATTTCCAGTGTAACTTGATCACCTTTCTTGCGCTGCTCAACAGTGGTTCATCACATCACGAAACTTCTGTTTGCTCTGTGTGCTCTTTGAGACAAACATACCATGTGACTGGCTCAATTTAATTTTTGTGAAAACAATTATTCAATATAAATATATGCACCGTGGGTATTTCAAAATACCCCGATATACGGTACGGTATACCGCCCAAGCCTAACACACACACCACGGGAGCAGTCTAACAACACACTTACTTCTAAGACATCAGTAGTATTAAACGGTGCACGGACATACCTGCTCCGCTCCATGGCAGGGTTGGGATGCCAGCTGTCTGAGCCACGATGGATGAGGCGATTTTGTCCCCTAGTGCCCACATGGCCTGGCTAGGAGGACCTGGATGTGGGCACAGAACACAACATCTTACAGGCCAACTCAGGCACAGGACAGAGGGACTAAAAGCAGTATACATGGCTCTGTGTGTGGATGAAATAACTAGTCAGCTGAAAACACAGTCTTACCCATGAAGGCAATGCCATTCTTCATGAGCAGCTCTGGGAGTTTGGGATTCTCTGAGGCATGGCCCCACCCAGCCCATACAGCCTGGAGACACCACAAGCATTACAAACAACACAAGTTCAAACACAGATTACAAGAAAGTTCAATCACTATTTATATGAAGGTCTAATCTAGCCCTAAATAAATGAATGTCTAGCAGTACCTGCACAGGTATTCGCTTGGCAATGTCCAGAATGAGCTCCACGTTGGCATAGTTGTTGTTATTGGTCCCTCCTGGCACAGGCACATAGTGGTCGGCCATCTTTATGTACTCTGTTGAAGATAGTGGAGTGAAAACCATTTAGGTCTGCTCTGCACATAAGATAGCATGTATAACAGTCCAACATTTAATCTTATCTTTCGTCTCTCAATATTGGCTTGCTATCATCTCATCTAAACCTCACCACCAGTGCAAAACTATTTACACACGATAGCACTTTCAGAATGCACTGCCTTTCTACACCATCAGACAGAGCCTTTTCTTCTGAACTAGGGCATTCTTGGCTGTTCAGTGCCGTTCAAGACAAAACCAACAGACAGCCTGCTCTGGTCCATCCCTGGGAGCCTGGAGGGTCTGCTTGTTTAACTCTGCTTAACGGGTCATTAAGCAGAGTTAGGAGAGGCTGGGTAGACTACAGCGACACGGTTACTCTGCTGTTACTAGTGGTGATGCTACCTTGATGTAAAGCTCACCTGCATTGGCCTTCAGGTCCTCGGGGGTTACCATGACGACAAAGCGGATGGCACGCTCGTTGCGGAACATCTCGTAAGCCCAGCGGCGGATGGAGCGCATGCACTTAACCGCCGCGATGCCATTGTTGGCAATGAGGACCTGAGACAGGAAGAGATGCGAGTGGGGGACTAGTCTCTGAAATACTCTGTCAATAACGTGGTAAAACTAGGCCACAGAAGCTAAAGAAGCCCTGGTCTTACCTTCTCGATGACCTTATTGCCTCCGAAGCGGGTGACGAACTCGGCGGGGGAGGCCACGGTGAAATCTCTCTGCAGGTCGATGCGACGGCGGTCTCGTCCCTGCTTGACCAGGTGCAGCCCAGACATGCTTGGTCTGTGTAAACGACTGACATTATTTCAGCATTAAGAGAACACCCTAGTGTACGGTTGGTGGGGTTCACCATTTCCCAGCATTTGTCATAAACATAACACAATCATAAAAATGTATATATTAAAAATACATGAAAGTAGGGCTAGCCTATTTGACACAGCCAATATACACACAAGCATAATAGGATAACAACCAAACTACAGCAGACACATAACGTAAGCGTAGCGCAAGTGCTGGTGAAACAGTCTCACTGGGATCAATGAGAGATGCTACACTGGCTGCACAAGCAGCACGTGAGGGAAGTGCTCTTGCCCTGCTGAAGAGTCTTTACACTTCAAGTCTATTTCAAGCGTAAGCCTTCCCCAGCCAGGAAAAAACACCAAACCAGATCTGTCGACCTTGTAGGCTGACAGCTGTGTTTTAACAACAGTTGCATTACATCACCATGGGATGATGTACAACACACCATCACCAACCAGTCGCAGGAGGAGCTCATTCCTGAAATGTTGTTTACAGGCTAGGGCAAGCGTTTCCTCTGAGCGAAAAATAAACTAGGCTCCACCCTCAGAGAGAGCCAGTGGGAGGATGGGGAGGAGGAGCAGGCATCCAGTCGCCCAGGAGGGTGTGGCAGAGGCAGAGCCCCCAGTCTGCGTTTGGCTGGCTGCTGTGGCCTGACACTGCACTGTTGCATCTTGAGGAGATTGGGGAGCTCTGTGCTCTGCTCTGCAGGCATGCTACATTCAGACAGGCAGACAGAGGCCTCTGAATGAAGCCCCCAGAGAATGGCACTTCCCATTACTGAGCACAGCTGAGCTCCCCCTTGTCCTATAGGAGAGAGGGGTGGGGGAGGAGAGTCTCCTCTACCACTGTCCAGTAATTCCAGTTTCATCATCAACCCTCACACTCCCCCATCACATACTCCCCTGTCCCCTGAAGCCCAACCAGACAGGATAGGGCAGCTGTGGAGAGCTGTGAAACTAATCACTGAAATGTGAGGTGCTAAAAAAGGATCAACAACAAAAACATGCCTCCCTCTTTCTGTCAGACTGGCACATCATAATAACAGTCTGAAAGCTCAGTCAATACCATATAGACTGTAGATAAATACTTTGGCATGATGTTTAGTTAAACTTAACTTGATATCTGATGTACATTTCAATTGTTTTCTTTCTTTCCTCCCACCAAATGACTGCCACATAGGCTAATATAGGAGTGTGTACACTGCTATTGTCCAACCATGGCTATGGAATGTAGCCCCATGTGTGTGGAAAGAGTTAGGCCTAGGTGACAGGTGAACAACAGTGTGAATATTTACTTCTTCTTCCGTGTATTGGCCCACCACAAACACTAAAACCTTACTGCTAGAGTGACTGTAGGGTTGAATCTCACCAGTCTCTATTAGGGCTGGCACAATTACTGTATAACTGTGTAACCGATGGTTATGGATGAAAACCGCCATGAAAATAAAATAACCATCATAACCATTTACACATTTTTAAAAAAGCTGACTGAAGACTGGAGGTCCGGGCATTCGTGCGGTTGAGTCAGTTTCTGCTGTAACATGGACTCTACAAAAGGGTTCCCCAACTGGTGGCTTGCTGGCCAAATTCAGTGATTTTATTTGGCCCCTATGTTTTCTGGGACATAAAATATTTTAAAAAACACCAGCAAATCAGCCCCAGGTGATTTTCATTTTAGAAATCTGTTCCAAAGTATTTCCACACATAATAGAGAGATAAAATGAACACTGAGTGTACAAAACATTAGGAACTCCTTCCTAATATTGAGTTGCATCCCCTTTTTCCCTCTGAACAGCCTCAATTCGTCAGGGCATGGACTCTACAAGGTGTCGAAAGCATTCCACAGGGATGCTGGCCCATGTTAACGCCAATGCTTCCCACAGTTGTGTCAAGTTGGCTGGAAGTCCTTTGGGTGGTGGACCATTCTTGAGACACACGGGAAACTGTTGAGTGTAAAAAAATCCAGCAGCGTTACTTTTCTTGACACACTCAAACCGGTGTGCCTGACACCTACTACCATACCCAATTCAAAGGCACTTAAATCTTTTGTCTTGCCCATTCACCCTCTGAATGGCACACATACACAATCCATATTGTCGCAAGGCTTAAAAATCATTCTTTAACCTGTCTCCTCCCCTTCATTTACACTGATTGAAGTGGATTTTACAGGTGACATCAATAAGGGATCATAGCTTTCACCTGGTCAGTCTGTCACGGAAAGAGCATGTTCTAATGTTTTGTACACTCAGTGTATGTGACCGTACACAAACATAAGCATGGTATGAAATTATTATGTTTTAGTCAAACAATTTGCATACTGCAAATTGACCGCAAGAAGGCCAAATCAATAAATACATTTTTATTGCGATCAATTTGCAGTATGCAAATTATTTGCAACTATGTTCCGGCCCCCTGACAATCCGCTCAATAAAAAATATAAAAATAATAATATCGGCCCGCGGCTGAATCTAGTTGATGATCCCTGCTCTACAACGTGATGAATAGTTCCAAGATGGCGTAGCAGTGCGGTCGCTTTTATTTTTCGTCCTGTGTAAATATCCCGTTTCTTGTTTTTTTGTCTATATTTCTCAATTTTTTTACTTTCATTCTTTAACAAAATATACTTTCCTGCAACCCGCCTCACCCAACGTGGAAAGGATTCTATTATTTCTTTATAACTTTCATCAAGAACCGTAAGCTGAAAATAGTGGCTACCTGTTATTAGTCACCGTTAGCGTCGTCACCATTGTCCGTGGCCTACACTATCCACCAGCCAGCTCTAGCTCTAGCCTGGACAATTCGTCGGCCAGTCTGCACAGCGTGCTATCGACCCAGCGTGCTATCGACCCAGAGCTTATTGGACTTTCTGCCGGAATCACTGGACCCTAGCGCCGGATCATCACAACCAGCTAGCTAGCTGCAACCTGTTGTTGGCTGATTACCATTACCCTATAGCAAGCACCAGTTAGCCTTGAGCTAGCCTCAGGCCCATCTCCCGGCTATCTACCTCTCTGTCAACCGGACGGGACCTCCTAGTGTTGACACTGAGCCCCGCCGATCCAACACGACTGGTTTGCCGACGAAATAGTCTGATGTGGTTTCAACAGGCTTCCCGTTGCGACGACCACGAAGATCCATCTGCCACCCCCGGCCCGCTAGCACACGCAAACTACAACTGTGCTCCCTGCTAGCTGTGCTGAAGCACCAATTTGAACTGCTCTCGGACTCACATATTGCTGTTCACTGGACCTTATGATCACTCAGCTGCACAGCTGATGCCTGCTGGACTGTTCCTTTACACGGTACCCTGTCCTGTTTATTCTGTTTAGTCTTAGCCCAAACGTTATCGCTATTTCCAGTTGTGTCTTAGCTCTCTCTAATAACACATGACTGCTTTATGCCTCTCTCCCCATGTCAATTATGCCTTGCCTATTGCTGTTTGGGTTAGTTCTTATTATACAATTTCAATGTAGAACCCCTAGTCCCTCTCAAACTGCCTCATATAGTTCCTTTGTTCCTCCCCCCATACACGCCGAGACCGGCTCCATCGATGCCTCCAATGACGCTATCTCTTTCATTGTTACCCAACGCTTAGGGTTACCTGAACTGTACTCATATCCTTCCATATCCTTTTCTGTACATAATGACCTGAATCTTTTCTACAACGCCCGGAGAACTGCCCCCTTTATTCTATGTACCCAACGCACTAGAAGACCAGTTCTTAAAGCCTTTAGTCGTATCCTTATTCTAGTCCTCCTCTGTTCCTCTGGTGATGTAGAGGCTAACCCAGGCCCTGCAGCCCCCAGTATCACTCCTACTTCCCAGGAGCTATCATTTGTTGACTTCTGTAACCGTAAAAGTCTTGGTTTTCTGCACATAAATATCAGAAGCCTCCTTCCTAAGTTTGAGTTATTCACTGCGTTAGCACACTCCGCCAACCCTGATGTTCTAGCAGTGTCTGAATCCTGGCTTAGGAAGGCCACCAAAAATTCTGAAATTTCCATCCCCAACTATAACATTTTCCGTCTAGATAGAACTGCCAAAGGGGGTGGAGTTGCAATCTACTGTAGAGATAGCCTGCAGAGCTCCATCATACTATCCAGGTCTGTTCCCAAACAGTTTGAGCTTCTACTTCTAAAAATCCACCTTTCCAGAAATAAATCTCTCACTGTTGCCGCTTGCTACAGACCCCCCTCAGCCCCCAGCTGTGCCCTGGACACCATATGTGAACTGATTGCCCCCCATCTATCCTCAGAGTTCGTACTGCTTGGTGACCTAAATTGGGATATGCTTAACACCCCGGCCATCCTACAATCTAAACTAGATGCCCTCAATCTCACACAAATTATCAACGAACCTACCAGGTACAACCCTAAATCCGTAAACATGGGTACCCTCATAGATATCATCCTGACTAACTTACCCTCTAAATACACCTCCGCTGTCTTCAACCAGGATCTCAGCGATCACTGCCTTATTGCCTGCGTCCGTAACGGGTCCGCGGTCAAACGACCACCCCTCATCACTGTCAAACGCTCCCAAAAACACTTCAGCGAGCAGGCCTTCCTAATTGACCTGGCCCAGGTATCCTGGATGGATATAGATCTCATTCCGTCAGTAGAGGATGCCTGGTTGTTCTTTAAAAGTAATTTCCTCTCAATCTTAAATAGACATGCCCCATTCAAAAAATACAGAACTAAGAACAGATATAGCCCCTGGTTCTCCTCAGACTTGACTGCCCTTGACCAGCACAAAAACATCCTGTGGCGTACTGCATTAGCATCAAATAGCCCCCGCGATATGCAACTTTTCAGGGAAGTTAGGAACCAATATACACAAGCAGTTAGGAAAGCAAAGGCTAACTTTTTCAAACAGAAATTTGCATCCTGTAGCACTAACTCCAAAAAGTTTTGGGACACTGTAAAGTCCATGGAAAATAAGAGCACTTCCTCCCAGCTGCCCACTGCACTGAGGCTAGGAAACACTATCACCACCGATAAATCTACAATAATCGAGAATTTCAACAAGCATTTTGCTACGGCTGGCCATGCTTTCCACCTGGCTACCACTACCCCGGCCACCAGCTCTGCACCCTCCACTGCAACTTGCCCATGCCCCCCCCGCTTCTCCTTCACACAAATCCAGACAGCTGATGTTCTAAAAGAGCTGCAAAATCTGGACCCCTACAAATCATCTGGGCTAGACAATCTGGACCCTTTCTTTCTAAAACTAGCCGCCGAAATTGTTGCAACCCCTATTACTAGCCTGTTCAACCTCTCTTTCGTAACGTCTGAGATCCCCAGAGACTGGAAAGCTGCCGCGGTCACATCCCCCTCTTCAAAGGGGGTGACACTCTAGACCCAAACTGTTACAGACCCATATCCATCCTGCCCTGCCTTTCAAAAGTTTTTGAAAGCCAAGTCAACAAACAGATCACCGACCATTTCGAATCCCACCGTACCTTCTCCGCTATGCAATCCGGTTTCCGAGCTGGTCATGGGTGCACTTCAGCCACGCTCAAGGTCCTAAACGATATTATAACCGCGATCGATAATAGACAGTACTGTGCAGCCGTTTTCATTGACCTGGCCAAGGCTTTCGACTCTGTCAACCACCGCATTCTTATTGGCAGACTAAATAGCCTTGGTTTCTCAAATGACTGCCTCGCCTGGTTCACCAACTACTTCTCAGATAGAGTTCAATGTGTCAAATCGGAGGGCCTGTTGTCTGGACCTATGGCAGTCTCTATGGGGGTGCCACAGGGTTCAATTCTTGGGCCAACTCTTTTCTCTGTGTATATCAATGACGTCGCTCTTGCTGCTGGTGACTCTCAGATCCACCTCTACGCAGACGACACCATTTTGTATACATCTGGCCCTTCATTGGACACTGTGTTAACAAACCTCCAAACGAGCTTCAATTCCATACAACACTCCTTTAGTAGCCTCCAACTGCTCCTAAACACTAGTAAAACTAAATGCATGCTCTTCAACCGAACGCTGCTTGCACCCGCCCACCCGACTAGAATCACTACTCTAGACGGGTCTGACCTAGAGTATGTGGACAACTACAAATATCTAGGTGTCTGGTTAGACTGTAAACTCTCCTTCCAGACTCACATTAAGAATCTCCAATCCAAAGTTAAATCTAGAATCGGTTTCCTATTTCGCAACAAAGCCTCCTTCACTCATGCTGCCAAACATGCCCTCGTAAAACTGACTATCCTACCGATCCTTGACTTCGGCGATGTCATTTACAAAATAGCCTCCAACACTCTACTCAGCAAATTGGATGTTGTCTATCACAGTGCCATCCGTTTTGTCTCCAAAGCCCCATATAATACCCACCACTGTGACCTGTACGCTCTTGTTGGCTGGTCCTCACTACATATTCGTCGCCAAACCCACTGGCTCCAGGCCATCTATAAATCACTGCTAGGCAAATCCCCGCCTTATCTTAGCTCATTGGTCACCATAGCAACACCCACCCGTAGTCTGCGCTCCAGCGGGTATATCTCACTGGTCATCCCCAAAGCCAACACCTCCTTTGGCCGCAATTCCTTCCAGTTCTCTGCTGCCAATGACTGGAACAAATTGCAAAAATCTCTGAAGCTGGAGACACTTATCTCCCTCACTAACTTTAAGCATCAGTTGTCAGAGCACCTTACCGATCACTGCACCTGTACACAGCCCATCTGAAATTAGCCCGCCCAACTACCTCATCCCTATATTGTTATTTATTTTGCTCATTTGTACCCCAGTATCTCTATTTGCACATCATCTCTTGCACATCATTCCAGTGTTAATACTAAATTGTAATTATTTTGCACTATAGCCTATTTTATTGCCTTACCTCCATAACTTGCTAAATTTGCACACTGTATATTATATGTATTTCTGTTGTATTTTTGACTTTGTTTTGTTTTACCCCATATGTAACTCTGTGTTGTTGTTTTTTATCGCACTGCTTTGCTTTATCTTGGCCAGGTCGCAGTTGTAAATGAGAACTTGTTCTCAACTGGTTTACCTGGTTAAATAAAGGTGAAATAAAATAAAATAAAATAAAAAATGAAACTTTGTTGCTCCTTGTTGAAACAAGCAAGGTGTTGTAGCAAACACGTTTTTGGTTGCCTAGGCAACACCCCCCTCCCTGAAGCAGGAGCACATGCAGTCAGGCGCAGAGGATATATACAGTGGGGAAAAAAAGTATTTAGTCAGCCACCAATTGTGCATGTTCTCCCACTTAAAAAGATGAGAGAGGCCTGTAATTTTCATCATAGGTACACGTCAACTATGACAGACAAAATGAGGAAAATAAATCCAGAAAATCACATTGTAGGATTTTTTATGAATTTATTTGCAAATTATGGTGGAAAATAAGTATTTGGTCAATAACAAAAAAGTTTCTCAATACTTTGTTATATACCCTTTGTTGGCAATGACACAGGTCAAACGTTTTCTGTAAGTCTTCACAAGGTTTTCACATACTGTTGCTGGTATTTTGGCCCATTCCTCCATGCAGATCTCCTCTAGAGCAGTGATGTTTTGGGGCTGTCGCTGGGCAACACGGACTTTCAACTCCCTCCAAAGATTTTCTATGGGGTTGAGATCTGGAGACTGGCTAGGCCACTCCAGGACCTTGAAATGCTTCTTACGAAGCCACTCCTTCGTTGCCCGGGCGGTGTGTTTGGGATCATTGTCATGCTGAAAGACCCAGCCACGTTTCATCTTCAATGCCCTTGCTGATGGAAGGAGGTTTTCACTCAAAATCTCATGATACATGGCCCCATTCATTCTTTCCTTTACACGGATAAGTCGTCCTGGTCCCTTTGCAGAAAAACAGCCCCAAAGCATGATGTTTCCACCCCCATGCTTCACAGTAGGTATGGTGTTCTTTGGATGCAACTCAGCATTCTTTGTCCTCCAAACACGACGAGTTGAGTTTTTACCAAAAAGTTCTATTTTGGTTTCATCTGACCATATGACATTCTCCCAATCCTCTTCTGGATCATCCAAATGCACTCTAGCGAACTTCAGACGGGCCTGGACATGTACTGGCTTAAGCAGGGGGACATGTCTGGCACTGCAGAATTTGAGTCCCTGGCGGCGTAGTGTGTTACTGATGGTAGGCTTTGTTACTTTGGTCCCAGCTCTCTGCAGGTCATTCACTAGGTCCCCCCGTGTGGTTCTGGGATTTTTGCTCACCGTTCTTGTGATCATTTTGACCCCACGGGGTGAGATCTTGCGTGGAGCCCCAGATCGAGGGAGATTATCAGTGGTCTTGTATGTCTTCCATTTCCTAATAATTGCTCCCACAGTTGATTTCTTCAAACCAAGCTGCTTACCTATTGCAGATTCAGTCTTCCCAGCCTGGTGCAGGTCTACAATTTTGTTTCTGGTGTCCTTTGACAGCTCTTTGGTCTTGGCCATAGTGGAGTTTGGGGTGTGACTGTTTGAGGTTGTGGACAGGTGTCTTTTATACTGATAACAAGTTCAAACAGGTGCCATTAATACAGGTAACGAGTGGAGGACAGAGGAGCCTCTTAAAGAAGAAGTTACGTGTCTGTGAGAGCCAGAAATCTTGCTTGTTTGTAGGTGACCAAATACTTATTTTCTACCATATTTTGCAAATAAATTCATTAAAAATCCTACAATGTGATTTTCTGGATTTTTTTTTCTCAATTTGTCTGTCATAGTTGACGTGTACCTATGATGAACATTACAGGCCTCTCATTTAAGTGGGAGAACTTGCACAATTGGTGGCTGACTAAATACTTTTTTCCCCCACTGTATATGTATATATATATATATTATTCAAACAGTTATAACGGTGACCGCGATCATTTGGCTGACTAATAACTGCCATCTAAAATTCCGTGATTGACACAGCCTTAGTCTCTATTACAATGCTTCAATTCCAACAGCCCAGACCTGTGGCAGGCATATACTGTAGTTTAACCAAAACTCACTAGACCAAATAACCTACACACAAAACAGAGTTTGCAACAAGTAAGACAGTGAGAAACAAATCTGAACACCATTCTAAATAAATAGCCTACGCTTACTATGTGTACAAATGTAGCCTTATTCTTCTTGCCAGCACCATATCTGCTACTTAATCATACAAATCAAGTCTTATGTATGCCACACTCATTCACAATGTCCATTCTCTACAGCCTAGTCCCAGTAGCTGTAAAAAGAGCCACTGAATATAAAGGAGAGCTGGTGAGGCCAGGCTCCAGGGAGAGCTTAGGGCTGAGGCTGTTGGCAGAAGGACAGCAGCAGCAGGGAGGCCAGTCCTCCCAGAACACACAGCTCCTCTATAGCAGGCAGGCAGGGTGTGAAGCTGGTCTGGCCAGGCCACATTTTTAAACACCCACACAGCAGAGAAGGGGGAGCCAGCCAGGGGGAGAGCACTGAACTGAACCCAGTGTTCTCCTGCTGCTGCCATTTCAGAATACTCCACTCCAGACTCGTCTGATGGAGACAGGTCTGTATTGGAGGTTTCTTCATCCCATATGACTGGGGCCAGATTGTTGCTGCAATCAAAACTAGTGCAGTACCATTTTGTATAATGTATTGAGATAACAGTAACCTCAGTAAAGATCATGCTATGATTAAAACACCTTTGTGTGGTTGCCATGCCTGGATAAACAAGACGAGCCAAACAGAGAGGCTCAGGTAACACAAACGAGAAAGAAAAGCCTGGGTTCTGACCTCATGTGGGGCCCATCGATATTGTCGAAGCCCATCTCGTAGCTGCTGTTCTCTGAACTGAGGCTAGAGGTGGGGGATATGGAGCGCTCCTTCTCTTCCAGGCCCAGCGTCAGGTCTGGCTTCCCCAGGAGCTCATCTTCAGAGTTCTCCTCCGACACAGAGCCGATGATAAAGTTGGAGTGCAGCACGGCCAGGTTCGGGGCAGCGGCCTTATTGGCAGGCGCGTCCTGCTGTGCCATGGCTGAAACGTCACCACGCTGGCAGGCTGCGAACACTGGAGGGAGAGGAGGGGAGTCAAAACCACATGTATTTATAAAGCAGGCGATAGGACTGAGTCCTCAAGTAAGTCAGGCCCACAGCATGATGACACGGTCATCCTGGCATGGGCTGCTGTTAGATTGCATCAGTGAGTTGAGTTGCACAACAAATTATGCTGACCCTGCATTCATATTGCAAGATATTGCAAAAGAATGGTACAGAGTGCAATACATCCCAATCCTTCTTAAGTAAAGTGCTTACTGTAATATATCTCATATAGCTACAACAAACTCCAATCCAAAACCACATCGTCAACTACTGCTAGTTGACTGGTTTGAGAGGCATGGTCTGCCTTGATATTAGTCTTTGAGGGGGTATAATTTGTTGAAACTACAACTGCGCATGAGCAGAGCAACCAGACCAAGACAGACACACCTTACCAGCAGCAGTTAGCTACTGGACCTGAAAAACAAGCAAGCATTGCAGACATAATGTAAGTGAACAGCACTGAACATATACATAGCTACCCAGCATGATAATAAATTATGTTTTACAACAGGGCTCTAACAGTCTGGTCTCATAGACTAGACATAACATTTGGTATGGTTACATAAGACAGAAGTTTACTTACGGCAAAAACTAAAGTAGGGTGGTTGTTCAGGGTGGATAGGTAGTTGCGTGTTCAAATCTCATCACAGACAACTTTAGTGTTTTAACAACAAGTACTTTTTAGGTACTTTGCAACTATAACATGAACTTCTAGCAACACAAAGGTTGCGTGTTCAATTCTCATCATGGACAACTTTAGCATTTTAGCTTGATTCCATCCGAAATACACAGTGAAATTATTGAATACTTTATTGTAGTGTTTTCACAATACCAGTATCGCAATACTCTGAAGTATCGTGGCAAGGAAACAAAATATGAAGCAGATTTTAATTTCTTGAGGAAAACAGTCCTAATGTTAGAAACAAACAGCATTTTGTTGTCACCTAAAGTCAGTTGTTTATTTTGCAAGCTATACCACCAACAACTTTACATAAAGTAGGTTTTTATAGTACCAGATTTTTCACCCAGTCAGCTCAGAGATTCAAACAGCGACCTTTCGGTTACTGGCCCAACAATCTTAACCGCTAGGCTACCTGCCGCCCTTCTCTTGAGATTAAAGTATTTTAGTGCAAAATATGAATTGCCACAATTATGTTTGCTCTTCAAATTATGTATTTTATTAAAACAGAAAAATGAAGTAAATAGCAGAAATTATCTTTAAAAAATAAATGTAAGGTTAAATGCAAAATTAAACAGATTGTGTGATGGGCACTTTCACACTCTAAAATAAACAGAAGAGATGCTCAATTAAGTTTTGGGTCCATACATGTTAAGAGAAAAGATAGCACAACATCAGTTAAATCATTGAAATAATTTCAACAAGTGAACTGCAGTATGTAATTTATTCTAAAAAAATACTCATTTTACAACTGAACCACACATTTCTTCTTAAAGAATTTCGTAAGAGTCTGCTGACTTCCACAGGCTTCAAACGTCCTTTTAAGAGGAATTTTCTCAGCTATCTGCAATACAGGTATGATTGAAGAATGAAGCAGGTGTTAATCATGGGCCTTGCTACACAGAAAGCAGCAGTTGACTAGTCCATTGTCAACACCTTGGTTAAATCAGTAGACCTATATCAATATCTTTGAAAATACCATAAGTATCATTAGCTTTTAAAACAATTAAATCTGTTTTATTTTATCATATTTTGGACCAGAGTGAGGCTATTTATCCACTAACCTACATGTTGTTCCTGAAGTGAGGAGGACTCACCATCTTCATCGAATGTTTTCATAATTTATCTGCAGATAATCGCCAAAAAAACTACAAATTAGGGAGCCAAATGAAGGTCTCTCTTACCAGTGAGATTCGGTATGCTACTGGCGAGTCACTCACTTGAACGTCACTGTCTGGAAAGTCCTGATGGACTTCATATCGAAAATACAAATAAGATATTTAGTTCACTTGTCCCGTTGTGATACCATAGACATAACTACGTTGTATGATTTATGAATGGCAAGGATATAAGAGAGACTATTTAGTCAGTTCGACACCATTTATAAACTAGTCAAGTTTGCTGTTCGTCAATCAAATCACAGTAAACCTATGCGCCAGAATTTCGTGGCTGCATATGAAACACAAAATAACATAATGTGCCAGAAAACAATAACGCTAAGTGGATTTGGACTCATTGTTATCACATTATATGGGACGTGCAAATTGACTCACAGACGATGAAAGAGCATCATGCCCTCTCCATCCATGTAAAGGAATCTGAACGCAACCACAGCGTACACAACACACACACCCAGGTACCGTGAGGCGGGACAGACAGCAGACTGTCAAACCAGTAGTGTTTCCCTGTCAACACTCACTTTGTGACTGACATGCGCCTGTCCTATCAATAGATCGCTAGAAGATGCATATCGTTCATTCTAGCGAGAGAGGGCTCAGCTTACTTTTTTTCAGACTTGCGAATTGTAAAAAAGTAGCCTGGCTAATTTAGGTGGGAAAAGTACCCAGCTGAAAAGTACCTGGCGCTAGTGGAAAACACTTCCCAACCCTAACCTTAACTCCTAGCCTACCTAACGTTAGCCACAACAAATTGCAATTCGTAACATAGCGTACGAATTGAAATTCGTAACATAGGGTACGATTTGAAATTCGTAACATAGGGTACGATTTGAAATTCGTAACATAGGGTACGATTTGAAATTCGTAACATAGGGTACGATTTGAAATTCGTAACATAGGGTACGAATTGAAATTCGTAACATAGGGTACGATTAGAAATTCGTAACATAGGGTACGATTAGAAATTCGTAACATGGCATACGAATTGAAATTAGTAACATAGCCTACGAATTGAAATTAGTAACATAGCCTACGAATTGAAATTAGTAACATAGCATACGAATTGGATGATCATCCACAAATTAATACATACCATACGAAACAAAACAAAACATATCACACTAATTGGAGCGTTCCAGATTTACGTTTACTATGTTAGGTCTACCGCTGAGTCCATGTTGGCTCTAATGATGGGGCAAAAAATGTCAAAACTGGTGAATCTTATGGATGGGAATCCTATGTCGAGCAAAGTAACGTTAGGTAGCTAGCTAGCTAGTAGCTACATCAAATCATGCTAGTAGCTAACGTTACTAATTTTGTGTCGCGTTATGGTTTAACTACCATAATCAAATACATTAAAAAAAAGCCTTCGTCTCAATACAACTCTGGTGGATGTGAATGAGTAGCGTATAAAAAAGTGTTAGATACTGGGTATCCAGCTAGCTAGACCGGCATCTTACTAACTAGCACAATGGCATGCAAGGTGTAGCTATGTACAGGCAGCAAGCATTACTGTACACAGACAATTAGTGTACTCGTACTGAGCTTAAGATACTCACCGTGTGAAATAAACCGACAAGCAATCCTGAATATTTTATCCCAAAGGATGGGTGATTATTTATTCACTCTAGTTTCAGGCATGTATTTCCAACCAAAAATCACACTATGATGACCTAATGCAACTACAAGAGACGCTTTTGACAGCAGCGAGTGGTGTGATGCGAAGATGGGTTACATTTGGCCTCACGCTGCAACGGAGGACCAATCGGATTGCGCGACAAGATCAGGAGGAGGGCAGAAAGAGCCACAACTGAAACTGACTGGAAGGAGGTGTGCCCAATGAGAAAACCTTTGTACTGTCCCACGTGTTTGGTCATGTATGGTCTGAGGGGTATACTTCAAAGTACATTTAATGAGTTTGCCAGCTAACTTTGATAAACAACGATAAATAACTTTTTTTTAGTTCATTAAGAAATCTAAACTTAGATATGGGTTTTTGATTGTTGAGTCAATTAGACCTTCCCATTTCAAGCTTATCTTTCAAAAAAAAAAGTAAGGTTATTACAGAATATTTTGGCAAATTAGCTGGTACCACACCTGCTATGTTAGGTTAAACCTGATCTGGATCTGAATCGGCTTCCTATTTCGCAACAAAGCCTCCTTCACTCATGCTGCCAAACATGCCCTCGTAAAACGGACTATCCTATCGATCCTTGACTTCGGCGATGTCATTTACAAAATAGCCTCCAACACTCTACTCAGCAAATTGGATGTAGTCAATCACAGTGCCATCCGTTTTGTCACCAAAGCCCCATATACTACCCACCACTGTGACCTGTACGCTCTTGATGGCTGGTCCTCACTACATATTCGTCGCCAAACCCACTGGCTCCAGGCCATCTATAAATCCCTTCTAGGCAAATCCCAGCCTTATCTTAGCTCATTGGTCACCATAGCAACACCCACCCCTAGTATGCGCTCCAGCAGGTATATCTCACTGGTCATCCCCAAAGCCAACACCTCCTTTGGCCGCCATTCCTTCCAGTTCTCTGCTGCCAATGACTGGAACGAACTGCAAAAATCTCTGAAGCTTGAGACTCTTATCTCCCTCATTAACTTTAAGCATCAGTTGTCAGAGCAATTTACCGATCACTGCACCTGTACACAGCCCATCTGAAATTAGCCCACCCAACTACCTCATCCCCATATTGTTATTTATTTTGCTAATTTGCACCCCAGTATCTCTATTTGCACATCATCTCTTGCACATCTATCATTCCAGTGTTAATACTAATTGTAATTATTTTGCACTATGGCCTATTTATTGCCTTACCTCCATAACTTGCTACATTTGCACACACTGTATATATATTTTCTGTTGTATTTTTGACTTTATGTTTTGTTTTACCCCATATGTAACTCTGTGTTGTTGTTTTTATCGCACTGCTTTGCTTTATCTTGGCCAGGTCGCAGTTGTAAATGAGAACTTGTTCTCAACTGGCTTACCTGGTTAAATAAAGGTGAAATAAAATAAAATAATAATATCCTCCCTGGCAGGCTTGCAGAGTAAATTCTGATCATACAGTAGTTTCCAGACTATTCTTATTTAAC